TTTAAGATGTGCCCTAGTCTTTCTTATCAACTTTATACTTTATGATAAACTTCAGACTTACGTCAATTATGATTCTTTGCAAAAGCTGATTTCCCAGGCGCTTCTGCTTTTTGCAAATGTTTTGGAAATAAAGGCCTGGAATATTGGAAATAGATTTATTGGAAAGTTTCCGGATAAATAACGTCGCCTAAGCGTAGAGACAAAAGCTATTTTCAAAATATGAGACACATGTCAAATTTGTAACTTTTTGAAAGCAGCAGAGGGCGTCAGATTAGACAGACTCGAAGCTGTGGAATGCACAAGAACTGGAATTGCTTGAAGAGATAAACTGGTCATGAATTAACTAATATAGCCAAGAAAACCAAGGAATCGAAAAGTGAAGAAGGCAGAAAATACTAACAAGTAGCGGCTTGCACATCTAAAGCTGAATTTGGTAAAGAGTTATGTGTCTTGGTGAAGTAGACCTTCTTGAAACAGTTTCGAGATGAAGGTAGGCTACTTAGGAATAAAATCTATTACTTTAAGAACAAACATAGAATGGTCGTTAAGACAATATAATCAAGTATAAGCTTGATGATCTTTACAGGTTCAATTTGTAATAACTATTGCTTTCAAAATAAGAGAAAAACGATAGATAGGACGATGGATAGAAACGATGGCAGGTATGCAGGCATTTGCATGGTAATTGGCAAAAGAACCGAGGGCAGAGAGTCGTTCGTGACAAAAATTGGTCAGCTGATAATATTTTCGTTTTCTTTATCAAGTTTGCTGCCTGGTTTGCTGCCTGGTTTGCTGCCTGGTTTGCTGCCTGGTTTGCTGCCTGGTTTGCTGCCTGGTTTGCTGCCTGGTTTGCTGCCTGGAATACCTTTCTGCGCTTTCAACAATATACCTTATTGACAGCTATGTTATTTCGTGACACAAAGCAGACATGAGTTCACCGAGCCAGGAAACGGACTAGTTCACCTCTTGAGTACAACAAAGTTGCTTTGAGGATTTTACAGAACAGGACAATATTAGTATTTGAATGCCTGTTCTGTTTCTGGTGAAACGTGTAGTTTTAATATATTGTATGGTGTTAATAAATTTGTAATTTTATTTGTTACTAAACAGTTTCCAAAGGTAGTTTTTGGCCACCGAGAAGCTGTCCTTATCGAGAGTGTCCTGATCCTTCCGCTCAATGCTACCAAACTTCATGATTTCTTCACCTGGAATTACAGACCTGTCCACTCTTCTCATTCTAAGTGAATGTTGGGTCACGGCTGTGACTCGAACTTTGGGTCTTTTGTCCACACTGTGCATTTATTTGTATACCTATAGCTACGTTCCTAAAATTTTTCTTTGTGTGGTGCTGTATATGTGTGAAATACAAAGAAATGTGTTTATCTGTTTCATTGACTACAGCAAGGCGTTTGATAATGTTCGTCATGATGACATGTTTGAGGAACTCCAAAAGTTGGATATGCATGGAAAAGATCTTCAATTGCTGCAGAATCTCTACTGGAATCAATCTGCTTGCATTAGAGTCGATGGTGAATGCAGTAACTACACAGATATTGCGACAGGAGTTAGACAAGGATGTGTGTTGTCCCCAAAACTTTTCAACTATTACGCTTAAAAGATCTTGAGAGAGATTAATAACAAGAATGGTCTGAGGGTAGGTGAAAGCAATATCACTAACATAAGATATGCAGATGACACAGTTTTGTTAGCCGAATCTGCCAGTGATCTACAAAAGCTTCTCGATGTTGTCGTAAAAGAGAGTGAGAAAAAAGGTCTGACTATAAACTGTAAGAAAACACAATTTTTAGTCGTTTCAAAGAAAAGGGAACGTCCTTTGTTCACGCTGAGAGTAAAGGATCGCTGAAAGTTAAACAAGTGTCGTCTTTTAGCTATCTAGGCAGTCTAATAACCGAAGATGCTAGATGTGTTACAGAGATCAAACGAAGGGTAGCTTTAGCAAAATTTGCTTTTCAAAAATTGGATAACATTTTGAGACACTGCAAGATGAGTATGTCAACGAGATTTCGTGTGCTAAACTGTTATGTCTATCCTGTCCTGTGCTATGGGACTGAGACTTGGACATTAACAGCAGATTTGAAGCCTCGAAAGCTATGAGATGTGGTTCTTAACGAAGATGAAGAGAATACCGTGGTCAGAGAAGGTGAGCAACGAAGAAGTTCTTGATTGAGCCCGTGTAAATAGAAGGTTTATTAAGGACATCATAATGAGACATATGTGCTTCTTGAGGCATGTGCTTTGGAAAGAGGGAACTTGGCACTAACTGGAAAGATAGAGAGGAAGAGAAGCAGGGGAAGGCAGAGAATACTGTGGATGAATACCCTAGCTGGATGAACCCAAACAAATGGTATAACAATCAAGGAGACAGATCTAATATACATGACTAAGAACAGAGAATTGTGGCAAAGCATGATCGCCAAAATCTCATGATATGGCACCAAAGAGAGAGAGAGGTGCTGTGTATACGCTATTCTCGTCAGCAAAACACAACTTGATAACGAACTGAATTTTTGTCAATATGGTCTTCTGTTCTTCTTTTTTGTTTGTTTTGATTTTAGTGTTAAATGTTACCGAAACCCAGAGAGTACACATCAGTTAGCTGAACTTCGTAGCTCCACCTGAAATATTGTTCAAGTTGATTCTAATTGAAAGTCCACATGTGTACTGCGATCAAAAGAACTCCCTTGTCAAAAAAGGTTACAAAATCCATGCCTCATCCTGGTGACAGGCTAAAAAGGCTGCACTTTGGCTGGTAAGAAAGAGGCAACTAAACTAACAATGCAAGCAGCTTCCTGCTGTTGTTGCAGCTACCGATTTGTCACTACTTTTCAACCGCTCAAATCAAATAAAAACTGAAAAGGGCTTTGATGGGATTATCGCTGCGCTGTTCAGTCTTTTAAAATTTAATTTCTTGTATAAACAACATCAAAAGTTAGCATCTGGGGAAAGCAAATTTTGATTTACAGAGAAATTGGTCACAATAACAATGTAGAATTAAACTATCGAACGTTTAATAAGACTTCGATATCGAACGTCAGAATTTCTTCAACCAACATTGCTTGCAGAGATTGAAACAAATATGCGATGAGTTAATCATGCTAATGGAGTGGGCTTGGAAAGTCGCATGACCAAAATGACATTTGCCAGATGAAACAGTGAATCTCAATCTCTAAAGCCACAGATATAGTTTACATGCTGCGAAAAATCCTTGCCTTTGTTTTCATGCATAAACACGATTAAGAATGGTTGTATTTCTCATCGATTTTGCTCCAGGGATAAAATCTTATAGTTTGCATTTTCAAAGCACTGCAGGTGCACGTCTGTGGGTGTAAAATGATTAGCAAAACTAGATCATCACCCGCAGCCTTTGATTTCTTGTCTATTCATTTCCGATGATCCGTCCTGCATGAGTCAAATTCCACATTTCCACAAAATGGGAGTTTAGATGAGATCGACGAAGCTTTTTTATCAGCCTCCCTTTGTATTTTAGCTCATCAATATAAGACCCAAGCTATCTGCAAAGAAAACTCTGGCGTTTTGGCTGTCTTTGGACTTCTATCGGGGAAAGCAAAATGGTCATATTACTTAACTGGCCTGTCGTTAAGTGCTCGATGCCGTATCGGGCAGAGCTGTGCAGGCTTTTGGTCGCAACTTAGAACAGCCCTGTTTTATACACCAAAAGCGTGTTCTATTATTGACATTATCAATGTACTCGCATTGAATCTTCCTGCATTGAATAACAACGTCATTACGTTGACATTGTGGGTTGTGTTCAACTTTGTTATAATTGTTGTTGATGTTGTAAAATGTACTGGCATCATTGTTTTATCCCACTGTCAACGGCTGGACCTTTTTTCCAAATGTCAGAATCATTACCTGCTCCAAGATATGACAGCTATTTAGAATCACAGAGAGGAAAAGCTTGATAAAGCAGAAAATCAGTCTGGGTGAAGATTATGAAATATCAAAAAAAATTTGAAGTATAGAATGGTGGAGATTTCGTCTGCAGCTACATCAGACTACCTCGGAAAATGTGGGATAAACTGCTAAAGCAGGGGTGGGAAACCTACGGCCCGCGGGCCAAATCCGGCCCGTCAGCAATTTTTTAGTGGCTCTCTGACTTTCAAAATTGAATATTCAAAGAATAAAATGTTTTATGAAAATGATAGCTTCCTGTCAAATATTTTCAATCAACATGAAATATTGAATTGAAGGAGAATTGCTCCATTGCTAGTATAGGACAGAACTTTGCCCTTCATAGCCTGACCCACTCTTCCAAGGTACAAAATATTGTAAACTTGGTCCCCATGTTGAAATGGTTGCCTGTCCTGGGCTGAAGGGGAAAAAATGCTACATGTAGCAAAAAAGTCCTGTAAAAGCAAGGATAGAGACAAGGTTACTTTATCTCAGAGAGAGAGGAGCTCCTGCTCAATTGAAGGACGATTACGTCAAAGGGCCAGTTAAACAATGTATTGATTTTGTGTATTTTATAAAAGAAAGGATGTAACAACAATTATTGTTGATATGATTTAAGTACACGTGTGGTCACATTTTTCCCAAAGGCTGAGATCTTTTATTTCAGGTTCGGGGGAAGGTCAACAACGTTTTGAAACTCTGACTGGAGTTTTAAGAATGTTTATAGGGAAGCCGTAAACATTTTATCTTCGATTTGTGAGCAAAACGGCCGTCATGTCATCTTTTAAATATATTTCGTAGATGTTGAAAATGTTTAAACACCTTTTAACAGGTATATCATCAACGTGAAAATAAAGCTGATTCTAATATTTCTTTCTTAAAGCGTTAACAGAGTAGATTTATTATGTGTGGCAGCAAGATCTTTGCCACCAGGCCCATGCATGTGGTTCTGCTTACTTCCTTGTTTTTCGGTCGTTTCGATTGGTAGCGACTCGTTGACCTACGGATTCACCGGGTTCAACGGGTTCGTATTCAGTGACTCTGCGAAGTGAAGCAAACGGTTTCTTCAAAACGAGGCTGTCAGTGAAAAGTTTTATTTCAAGTTGTGATGATGAGAAGCAATGTTTCCAAAAACTAGCACGGAGACTAATAAAAGTGATGTTGCTTGCACAAATAGCGAATTAGAAATCAAGCAAGCTGATTCTTCTAAGAGGGAAGCAAGTTCGACCAAACATGATTCTAAAGCAGAAATTGGCCGATCAAGCAATGATAATGGCTTGCTCACTGGTATCTTTTGCAGTTGCCTGAAACCAATTTGCGGGATTTTTGCAAGGAAAGAAAAAATAAAGAAGGATTCTTGGATAATACCTTTTAATGCCTTGACAGAAATCCGTTTGATAGGGTCAGGAGCCCAGGGTGCAGTGTTCCTCGGTCATTACAAAAACGAAGAGGTTGCAATCAAGAAAGTAAAAAATGAGAGAGACACTGATATCAGGCATTTGAAACATCTCGACCACAAAAATATCGTCAAATTTAGGTAAAGTTGAACTTTTCAAGATTTGCAATAGCATCCTAAAATCTTTCCGAAGACATAGAAAGTTGAAAGTGAATTTTTATCACTTTCAACAACCGAATAGGCTACCTATATGACGCAAGGCTACCAACTGCCTCTAATGTAAAACCATTGATGACAGGGAACCACTGCCTCTAATGTAGAACCACTGAAGAGAGAAAACAAACTAGTGTGGACAGAAAGAGTTCATTTTCTCTCTTGGACTACAGTGGTAATTTTTCTTTAGGCTCGCTGCACTGATTGTTCAACTATACCGGTCTTATGCTTGTGTTTTTCTGATTGACCTATTTTGATCCACAACTGGGTATATATTTTTCATCGTGTTCTTTTGGACCCTTATTCTGACGTTTTATGCTCTGAGGAGTGTCAGACGAAAAAGCTTTTAGTATGTTATATAATGTTTGCTATTTTAAAAGCCATTTTTAATATATATGCTTCTGTGTGTCAGAAAATTTTGAGTTTCAAATTTGACTGACAACTCCATCTGATTTTGGTCATCCTGTGACTTTTTATAAAGTATATATTATTTAACAGTTTCATGATGACCAAATTAAATTGAGTTGTCTGTTAAATAAAGCTCTAAAATATTCAAACATTGGTCCTGTTCAAGTGACAGGACATTAAACAGTGCAATGACTCTTGCCATTCTTCTGAAATAATTTCCAAAAACATATTTTTGGATGGCTTTGTCCTGACAGAAATATTAGAGATATCCTCCACTGAACCCCACAATACCTTGTATTTGTCAAAGAAAACTCTTAGGACAACTTTTTTAATTTTGCACGAATGTTTGATTTCTTTAGAGGAATTTGCAAGCAATCATTCACATTTTGCTTGATAATGGAATACTGTCCATATGGCCAGCTCTTTGAAGTTCTCAAAGGTGGAAAAGACATAACCCCTGCACTATTGGTTGATTGGTCAAGGCAGATTGCAGATGGAATGCACTACCTACATTTGCATAAAATCATCCACAGAGATCTAAAATCACCAAAGTGAGTAAAATCCTGAATCTGATGAAATTTATACGATTGACTATTTTTTCTCAATCATTTAATCAGCTTTCTTAAGGAGAAAGGTATTGAAAGCATGTGGCTGACTTTTTCAAAGGCCTTGCTTACTTTTACTGCCAATCACTTTATGTTGCGACTATTGATAGGTCTTTGAAAACTATAAAGTAGCACAATTTTCAATGAAGCGTTTTCTTTAACCCAATTTATTGCGTACTATGCTAGAAATGGCTGGGGCTTTGAACAAGTCTCTTTTATAATGTGTATGCTAAGCATAACATAGCCAAAGGTAGATCCAGAGTGAATTCCTTGGTGCAAAGAACTCAGTTAGTTTTCCAACATAAAACTAAAAACAGTGTTATCTGAAAGTAATATTTAAGCTTAAAAAGAGAAACCTAGAAATTTTAAGTTTTATCGCAGTCTCTTCAAAATCCTAAAATTACCAGTTTGATATAATTGATTCACCCTTGTTGTCCTTTCTTCTCTGTCATGATTTCGAATCAATTTCCCAGATGCAGTTGAGGACAACAGACCACTAGCTCTGATAAAAAAGCAAGTTGATACTAGAACTTGGAAATAAATGATTTGTGTCTGGGAAGTGAGTATAATAAAGCAATGGAATTTTGTTTGGAACATGGACGGAGATCAGTCAGAACAGCATCAGAAATGATACCATACAATTGCCAGTAGTTGATTGGCCCATTTTTTTGTTCTGGTTTGGGACTGCATAACATTGAATTTAAAATGATGACTACAGATGTTTTATATTTGCGACCCTTGCAAAAGAATTGAGATAAAAAACAGGAAATAGTGTTCATTTTCCAGAAGCATTTACTTCCTTAGTTTAACTTGCAGTCTTTGATGGCGGCGAGACTTATGCTCAGACAGAACACCATGTTTTGATGAATTGGCTGGTGTCTACAGAGCAAAAACAACAAATTGCAAAGAAAACAAAAGGGAAATTTTTTTGCTGTGGCATGCAAGAGAAACAAAAAAATATTGAGAAGGGGAAGGGGTTGCAAAAAATTTTTAGAAGCACTTTTTTCAGGATTTGGTGAGTTGATAGTACCCCCCCCCCCTTTCATGGTACCAAAATGCATAAATATATATAATAAAGTTGTCTCAGATACAGTTATAAACTATCAATATCATTAGCTGAAAGACTCCAGCCTTTGCCTGGAACTCAGTAAGGTTTTTTGCTAGATCTGCCCCTGGTAGCACCTGTAGCAGAATATATTTTGAAAAAAATTCAGACATACATGTCATTGTCATTATTGCGGGAAGTGCATTAGTATGGAGAAATGCACCATTTTGCTATCTGTGGCATATTGAGTATGTGTGTTATTTTGTGGCTAATTCTTGGTTTGCTGACATCAACTTCAGTCCAAGTATGTCAGTCATTGTCTGCTTCAACACCTTTTCCCGTCTATGTAACATGTTAGAGCCAGTTTTTCTTGTCTGCATTTACCCACTGTGTGCCCAAGGAAAAGATGTTTTCTCTTTCTGATCCATTCAATGAAGCTTCTTGCTCTTCCCAGTTTTCTTAGTTCCTCTTTTTGTGACATGATCTGTCCAAGACATTCTGAACATATTTCTGAGGAACAATAGTTTATTGCTTCCTGCCTCATGTGAGTTTCAATTGTCCTACACCCACTGCCATATGTAAGGATGGAATTCACAAACATGGTATTAAAGTGCTCTCAGTTTGGTATGCCAATAGACATTTTCTGGTCTTAAAGTATTTTCCCATTTTTAGGAATGTATCTTCTGCCATTCTTATTGTTCTTTTAATTTCCCAATCACATTTTCCGTCATCTGCTTCAATACTCCCTAGATCATTTAAGTTGAACATCTTCTTGCAATTTACTGTGAAACTTTACTTTGTGCTTTCTTCTACTCCTTCGTCAATAGTTCTTTGCTCGCTTCAACTTTTTTATGTGTTTCTAGCGTCCCTTCGTTTCCTGTGTATACGGCCAATTTTGTAATTCAGAACAGTAAACACTTCAAGGCAATTGGACATAAAACACCCTTTCTTTCGGATCTGCGTTTTCTGCGCGCATTTAAGAAAAAATTCTCAACAGACGCAAAGTATAGGAACAAACGATACATCAACAAATGTAATGACCATGACAGTGTGACAAATACTGACGTAATCAACCTATATAATTATCGACAATCTTGACTAACTTTTCAATTTCATTTTCAGCATTTTGATATCTTATAATGATATTATAAAGATATCTGATTTTGGAACATGCAAAGAGTTGTCAGAAAAAAGTGCAAAAATGACGTTTACTGGTACTGTTGCTTGGATGTCACCTGAAATGATTCGAAATGAGCCATGTTCAGAAAAAGTTGATATTTGGTGAGTCAATGGATCTCTCCTTTTTGATTTAGTTAATTCCTATTGCTAAGATGAATGCTATAGAGGCAAGGCATTGGTATTTAACATTCCTGAATGTGATTTAATCATGTGTATCGTTATGTATTATATCATTGGGATTATGTCTCAACGATTTTGTGAGTGTGTGATAACTATCTCATAATCTCGTTTCTAATATTTTATCACAAATATCACATGTTAATTGCCTGTCTGTGAAAATCTTATTGTTAAAGAAACTTAAGCGACAGATTTTTGTTTTCATGATAGCAATCGTATTTTAGGTCTTATGGTATTGTAGTTTGGGAGCTGTTAACAGGAGAAATGCCATACAAGGTATGGAGATTTTAGAAATGAAATGCTTATTGAAAATACATTTGATTTTTCCGTAATGTTTTGGTGTCAACACAGTATAAAGCATTGAAGTGATGGGTGTAGAAAAGGGTCATTGGAGTGATTGGAAAAAGGAGTGATGGCGGACTATTTTAATTCTGATGGCAACTATTTACCGGCCTTCGGACATTTCTGAATGCCTGCATAAAGATTTCAATTACTTTATTCAATTCATTGATGACAAAGACCTCCGGGGAGTTTCAGGAGATGATAGTCCTTGGGGACATGGATGTAAACTGTCTTGCTCCTGGAGACTATCAAGTTTACAATCGGTCTTCGAAATATATGGTTTGAAAAAAATAATTAATTGATGTGCTCTTGACAAAGGTTGCGTTTACACGGAGCTGCCAAAATATGTCGTCGGCCAAAAATTTGGCCTGCTTCTGAAGTGACATACGCAGTGTGTCAAATAGGCACCTGCTATAGCATCATGAACAACATCGAAAATACAAATTGATTAGAGCGGTATTTGTGGACCGAAGCTTTTGAAACCGTAAGTTAGGCAATGTTGCTAGATAAACTTCTATTATATGGAGTTCAAGACAAGGAATTAGAGTGGTTTAAGGATTACCTTATCTTCCGAAAAGCAAGAATAGCCCAGAACAATAATTTTTCCAAAGAGCACGCATTTCCGACAGGAGTATCACAGGGATCAATTTTGGATCCTTTATTGCTCTTAATACTGTCAATGATGTTGTGGGCAAAATTGAGTATTCGAGCTTTTTGAAGTATGTTGACGATACAGGCTTGTATGTTGCAGACAAGGACATCCAGTTCATTCAAGCCAAATTTTCAAAGGATATAGATCGTTTAGCAGACTGGCTAAAGAGCATTGAACGGTCCTAAATTTCAGGAAAAATATTCAGATCCGGTATCGTGTAAACGCAGCCTAGTTTGAGCCTTTTTTCCGAGACCACTGTTTTTTGCTGAATGGAAAAGGGGGGTCCGGGGGCTACACACCCGGAAAATTTTTGCAAACCACGCCCTTCAAATTGCCAGAAACTGTTACCCAACCGAAATTTTATTTTTGAAACAAAACCAAAAGCCTAGCTTAGAACTTTACATTTACCCTATCTAGGTTTTGTTGTTCCTAAATATAGACGCTTCTTTATAATCACCCAAAACCATTCTTGCTGCTCTGCTTTTTCTGGAAACCTTTCCCTTTTACTTTTGCGTTGAGCTAAGTAAGGGTGGCTTGTGAAGAGTCAAATCTTTCAAATTTATCCATATTTTGCGAAAACGTGCAAAAAGTTCTTAGTTGTGCCTGGTGCCAATGAAACCTTCTCGGTTGCCTTTAACGTGTCTCAACCAGCTATCTATACGACTTGTAAAAAGCTTGCTGAACCTAAATTCGAATTTCTGCTGTTTTCAAAAAGCTTCTGATAGGCTACCACTTTTAGCAAAATAAAGATCGTATCTTGATCATACCACAGCTGCTACGTTTCATCATTCTATGATACTGCCACGATTCACATACTGTGACAAAGAACTGTGGAAAAGCACCAATACCCAATTGAGACCAAATCAGAAGCTTATCTGTCTAAACAAAGAAACATGTGAATAGTTGCAGAATCATTTTATGTTGCAGGACCACGAAAAACAGACGAAACAATGAGCATTCACTATTACTCCCAAAGATCAATTCCATTTTCCATTCAACTATTTTTACTCTTCATTTCATGCTGCCTTATATTTTGTGTTTTGACCAGCACTTTTTCAACCAATATAGAAGCAAATAGAGTTTATGTCATGCAATGGTTGAATATTCAGGAATTCTTTTTTAGGGTGTTGACTATTCAGCTATCATCTGGGGAGTTGGGAACAACAGTTTGCGACTGCCAATACCCCAAAGCTGCCCAGAAGGATATAAACTTTTGCTGAATCTTTGTTGGTAGGTAATCCTCAGCATTACCAGGCAGTCTGTTGATCAGCTTAAAATCGTTATCTAGCTGCTGATCGGCGAAGGTGATGTAATCACAAGAGAACACACTATCTCATATCTTTATTCCCTAATACACTCCTCTCACGAAAGTACCCGGACAGTTCGAAGATCGATTGCGCTTTCAGAAAAAAATAGGCTTGCAATAGCAACTTTTTAACTTAGTGAATTCTTGAATTTAATAGTGGACTTAGAAGTCAATTCTTTTGTATCGGTCGCTTTTTCGACGAGTAATTAGATTAAAGGCCAAAAGATTTCAAGAAAAAATTCGAGGAAATTGATAAAATTGTTTTCATGAAAACTGATTTTCAAATTTGTAAAAAAAGTTCTCTAACAACAGATTCGCAACTTAATTCGAAACTGTCCGGATACTTTCGTAAGGAGAGTGTAATTATACAAAGCGAGTCTTTCACAACAGGATACCTGAGAGATTCTAACCTGGGTCAGTTCAAAGAACCCTTGTTAGCAAGTTTTTGTTTTTATGTACAATTTGTGCCTCTGTTCTTTGCACTTTTTTGGCGTTTCCCCTTATTTTTCTGCTTATGGATGCAAAATATAGTACAAAGAATTCTCTGTCAGTATCATTCACAAGGCATGAGTTCACCAGGCGACTGATAATTTCTCCAATTTTATCAGGCATTCAAAGCCAAAGAATCGCCCGTCATTTCGACAAGTGTTGATGCACATAGAAATTGCTGCTACTGATGTGTTGCGACTTCCTTTGGACAACTACATGAATAGACAGGTGCAGTTGTTTGTTTTTTCTTGTACACTTACATTCAAAAAGTATTGGAACAAATTCAAAGAAGAACTGTGGCGTTGCGCTATAACGGAACCGTGTTCAGATATGAGCAGCCTTTTTTCAAATAATTTAGGCCTGTGTTAAAAGTTGAAACAAATCAATTCAACTGTTGAATCATTTCTATAAAAGCATTGGATTCTTACAATTTTCTTATAAATAATAGCGAATTCTGCAATAGAGTTGTATGGCCTAAAAACGGCAAACTCACACAGCCTTGGCAATTTTTTGGAGATGGCCAAACAAACTCGATTTTTTAGATTCACATTTGCATAACAAAAAAAAATTACAAAGAAAATTCCAAAATCAAACTATTAAGTCTTAAATAAAGTTTGTTGAGTCAACCAAAATGTTACAAATTCATTAAATTATTGAACTTACTCAAGCTACTTTCAAAGCTGCCTAAGACTAAAGAGAAAGCCACAGTACTTGTTGGCGACGATTAATTTTTGCTTTAAGAGAGCATTTTTTCTTATATAGCTGGAAAATTTGTATTTCTTATGATTTTCTTAGACACGTTTTTGCTTATGTACCTAAATTTAGCTTCTTTTTACACGACAAATATAATATCTGGTGAGGATTCAGACTTCGCTGTTCTTTCAGAAAGGACCTTTCGTTTCTCGGCATCGTAAAATTCTTCGGTCTGCTAATCCTTTGTGAAATTTATACTCTTCTTGCAAGGAAAGACTGATTACACACCACAAAAGCTGCACTCATTGAGCAGCCAACAAGTGATACGGAATCCTTATGTGTTATTTTCGCAGAAATCAATTTTCTCGTAACTCAGTTCTTGATTTTTAAGAACTCCCATGCTTATGTCTCAAGGCCTATAGAAATTTATGGTTGACGTTTTGTAAGTTGTTTGGCGTTTTATAAGAGGCATCGAAACATCAACAATTTACTTATTTGCCTATGAAGTGCTCGATTTTTGCAGTTATGTTTTGGTGACACCAAAACGCTGCGCAGCAACTTGCCTGCAACTCATACCTCGTAATTGCATAGATATGTGGCTTTAACATTGATTGACCAGGCAGAAAATGTGAATTTCTTATTCAATTATTTATAGATATCAATTGTAGGTAACTCTATGGAAATAAAAAGGTGGAACACCATTTATATTAATGAGTGCTTGTCTGCTATCTGCTGTACCTAACCAGGAGAGGTCAATTTATACTGGCTCTTTCATTCTATAGGTAAACTGGAGACGAGAGGTCGATACCTATTTTGATCAACTGAAGCACCAAGGAACCCAGTTCTCTGCCATTGAAGAAGAACTTATCCGAAAAAGGAAGGAGCAATTGAAGTAAGTTCGCTTTTTTTGCAAACCTTTGACGTTACAGTGCTCAAAATTTCTTATTCTAAGATAGTTTTTGTTACTCGAAGATCTTGATATTTATCGCTAAACTAAATTCAATGAATCAAGAATAAAAGTATTTTGCCAAATGAAAATTTTTCTTTGATACTCAAGTATTAAAGTTGAAGCTGATATTTTTTGAGATGCAAATATGACTTTCATATATGCTAACTATATTTAACTTATTTCAGGCATGCTAGAGAAGTCAGACTTTTGTATGAAGAACGATTGACAAAAACAAATAATCTTTATAAGGAACTCACGGACTGTATTCACCAACTGCAAACAAGAGAGCAAGATTTACTCAAGTAGGTTTCACAATTTCTGGTCTGATTTTTGTAAGCAATTATTTTAAAGAGCAATTACCGAAGTAACATTTACATAGTAACATTTATCTGCCGTTGAACCCTTAACATGTATTCTTTATTTTTATCAAAGCATATTATACTAAAAGTTACATTAGATGCATAAGAAGCTCCCAGAAATGGCTCAAGGTTTCAGTTTTCCAAACTCTTATGCACCGATCAGAGTCGAAAACTTCCTTACCGTCTTTACCAACATAGAGAAAAGAATATACGAGTAGTAAAATGTGCTGTTTGTTTAACTAATTTTTTCCTAAAAATTGTCGTAGTTCTGAGTAGAATAATTGCCTCGATCTTCCTAATAATGGCCATTACGCTGTTATGGCAAGATCTTTACATGTTTTGATTTTTGTGTGACTGCCGTGAAAAGCGCCACGTTCTACTAAGAGAAAATAAATCAGCAACTCGGGTCATTGAATCCATATTTTCCTTATTCACAAATTTATATAATTTCGATTTTTCTACACTTAGCTTCTTGATATATTTCTTTCAAAAACTTGAATAAGATGAATAGGAAAATGCTTGATTAAACTGCTTTTCCACTGTGATGGCCTTGCAGGTACTAACGCATTTTGTGAACGATAGCAAGGGAGGGAAAATCAAATTGAAGTATGAGTTAAAAACAATTTTGTAATTGTTAGAATATAACTATTGAATTACTCATTTGAAGAAAATGAAGAAGAAATTGAATTACTTATCCGTATGAGAAGGACAGATTGAATTGAATAAAGCCGTTTTACTTTAGATGAAAAAAGTTTTTAGATGAAAAAGGGAAAGGTTGTGCACTGCACTGAGGCACCTTTCTTCTTACATTCGTCTTAAGTTTGCGTAAACGTTTCTAACACAATATTTGGTTTTCTCTCTCTAAAAGTCAAACTATTAACGGAATCGGTTTAAACTATATATTATCCGAATCACAAGAACTTTGTGATTTCAACCATATCAGAATAATTAACAAATGTTGTAAAATGATATTGCTTAGTTTATTGTTTAAATTGCCACCTTCAAAAGCTATTTTGTACCCTTGCTTTTAAGATAACAAAATCTGACTTATATCAGCAGAAAGCGCAGATCCTTAGCTACCAAAGTCTGTCTCAGATTTTTCAAATTCCACCTTCCTTTGAAACTATGCCCTGTTAAAAATTGGTAACCAATTTTGTTACACTCTCGCAGTTATATTTGGCTATAAAAGACGGACCAGAGCAAATACAAAAATTCTGAGACACGCTTTGCTTACCCGACGTCTGTCAGGGCCGTGTGCAAATTTTGAGCCATTTGATTGGTTCCTTGGGTACAAAATAGCTTTTTCGAATCTGTATATAGAGGAATTTTGTGTCCAGAGAAAACGGGATTTCACTGATCACGCTTGCAAGGTACACTCGTAAATCACAATGTAATTCGAATCCTTTGAAGTCATTTGAAGCTTTAAGATAAATAAGCCTGTTTAGATAAACACGGCCGTACATGGTATACATGGATGTGCAATGCAATATTGTAAATGAAACATGCGACCATAACCGCAAAGCAAAGATACACTTATTTTTTATAAGAAACTGGCTATAAGAGACCAGTATAGGAAACTATTAAATCGTGATAAAACTGAGAACAACGAAATTTTGTAAAATCCAAGAACATGATTGCCCTGATGGCCTAGAAGTAAAGACACAAGGGATAAAAATATACTCCCCACGTCTAAATACAGCGTCAAAACGAAAGCGAATCTCTTGACATGAAAAAAAGGTCAGGAACGTTTCTTAACATCATTCATGACATCATAATTAAGAAACTCTTAAGGAACAGTGAGTATTGAAATTTCCAGAACATTAAGAAACTGGAGTACTCAACATCGACTTTGTGCCATAAAAGCTATAAAAAATATGAGTGTAATTGGCTTAACAGGTCAAGCAATTTTCAGACCTCAACTAAAAGTTTTGATAAAGAAATTATGGAAACCTTCGTTCACATGGGATTTTTTCCATTTTCAAAATTGCTGTTAGTTTCAAACATGGTATCATTGTGTGCCTGGAAGTTCGGCTACTAGAACGTGAAAATATCGAAAACTAGATGTTTTCATTCAAAAAACGTTTACCATAACCTAAAGAGTATGAAATGACAGATGACGACCAAAATATAGTGTAGATGTCAAAAGAAAGAAAGAGAGATAAACCATCTCCTACAGTTTAATTGTTTTTGCATTGCCCAGCAAAATATGAAACATTTACTGTTGGTAATTTGTATTCCTTTCTTTTCCCAAGACGTGAACGAACACCTACTTTCAAGAACAAGGCTAAACGATGCTGTTGTGGCACAAACAGCCATGGAAAGAAAACTGGAAAGTGCCACCGCTCATCTGCAAAACAAGGGTAACATATTTTTCTTGGTTTTTTCTATTTCACTCCAAAACTTAGCCAAATTGAAATAACTTATCATTTTGAATCCTTTGCACTTAATTTTACTTTGATTTAAAAAAAATAAACGCGAGCTTAACTTTATTCTGGTAGTGGGAAGAAATTTCAAGTGAAAAAGTATACAACAAATGAAGAGCCAAAAACAAAGACAAAGTTACAAGAAAGGATTTTTGCCGACAGATCATTTAACCTCACAAGTAAAGCGATGAATGCAGGGGACACTCTACCAAGGGGGAGAAGTCAGTCATATTCGGAAGACAGAAGGGCCCCGAAATTTGCTGACATCCAGCCACTTATAGAGAGTAAATGTTCTGAACAACATGCTTCAGATGATAATCTATCTGAAAATAACGATTTAACTTCAGAAAAGCCAGTTGTTGAAAGGTCAGCATTTCAAAATGCTATAAATGAAGGGCGTTATTTCTTAGGGGAAAGCCTAGGAAGAACCTCTCTTGAACTCAATGGCTCATACGCTAATAGTGATCATGTAGATAATGTGAATCATGATCAGCTAGACTGGGACGATGAGTTCAAACTGGCAAGCTCATAGCGTTTGACAGTCGCAGCTATACAGATGCTAATAGGTTATTGCAATGTTTACTTCTCTTTGTAACGAGAATATATGTGAGATAATAAGACACTGTCGAGGGGGTGCAATGTGCTTCAACTTTAAGTCTGTGTCTTCTATATATTGACTGGTTTTAAACAGATTTATTTGTTTTTTCACCTCCCTTTAATCGAGATATGAAATGAACTGGAGTGCTTTCTGGCAAAGCTGATGGTTGGAGTAATTCAAAAACATCATTACCAGTATAACTGGAAATCTGTTATCACACAGTCGTTAACTTTGAATTACAAAAAGAAACAATTTATTTATAGTAGTTTTACTTAAATTTTACTATCTAAATGAAAAGTATATGTGAACCTATTCATAGGTCAAAATATATTTATATACAGTAGAGAAGATGAATTTATAAATGAAAGAACAACGAAGGTTAACAAGATTCTCGAAGAGCTCTGTAAGGAAAGAAGTTTCCTTTTATTGATGCCAGTAACCTTAACATTCAAACACATGTGAATCACAGTGGCCTGCACTAGAATCACATTGGGGATGGTAAGCTTGCTTTGAATATTATATCTGCGTTGCGGGATTGACCTCCAGCCTGTATTAGCAATGAATCGAATGAGAACTTTGATGGACAAAACGAAAAATTACAAAAAAAAACATTGCAGCCTAACATAATAGTTACTAATGATTTATTAGATAACTCTGATGATGAGAATGAGGATGTAGATGCCAGTTTGATTCTAAAAAATGTGCGACTATCTAATAAATACAATTTACTAATTGCACGCCTGAATATTACTTCGATCAGAAATAGATTAGAAGCACTGAAATGTTTGATTTCTAAAAATATCGATATCTTGATAATAGCAGAGATGAAAATAGACGAAACTTTCCCAACTTTCCATTCCGTATTGATGGGTATATGCCACCCCTAAAAGCAGATAGAAATCGACATGGGGGAGGTCTTCTGGTATATATAAAAGAGGGTGTTCCCGCGAGAGAAATTTCAACAAATGGTTTAACTTCCCAAGAAATCGAAATTAAAGTCGTTGAAATAAATCTTCACAGAGTAAAATGGCTTCTTATTGGTATCTACCGTCCTCCGTCTCAATCAAAGAGATTTTCTTCGAAGAAATCAGCAAAAGCATGGAGCATTATTTCACCAATTATGAAAATTTTCTAGTAGTTGGGGATTTTAACCTTGGCGAGGAAAATTCAAATTTGAAAGACTTCATGAACAGCTGTAATTTAGAAAATGTCGTTAAGAAACCTACATGTTTTAAATCCGATAGTCCATCTTGCATTGACTTGATACTTAGTGATACCACAAGACTTAAAAATACTAGAACAATTGAAACTGGGCTGTCGGACTTCCACGTTATGATAGCTACCGCTTTGAAAGGAAGCTTTCTTAAAAGAGGCCCTAGAATTATAACGTACCGGGATTATAATAGATAAGCATGTTCCGTGCAAGAAGAAATATGTTCGAGCAAATGACGGCCCTTTTATGACCAAATAACTTGGAAAAGCAAAAATGAAGCGTACTAGACTAAAGAATAGGTTTAACAAAAGTAAGACAAATGAGAACTGGACTGCTTTTAAAAAACAAAGAAACTTTTGTTTCAAACTGCTCCGTCAAAAAAAAGATCATATTATAATCGACTAGACCCAAAAGTTGTTAGCGACAGCCAAATGTTTTGGAGAACAGTAAAGCCCCTTTTCTCGAACAAGATTGAAGGAAGTGCTAGGATTACTCTTCTCGAAAACGATGTTGTTGAATCAGACGATACTAGGGTTACGGAGATCTTGAATGAACATTTTGTTGATATTACCAAAACGTTAGGTGTAGCTTGTGAAGAGGACTCCACAAACCTGGATATTTCTTCGCAAGATACTTTACAAACGACTGTTCAACGTTTCCAGTGCCACCCTAGTATTGCTAAGATTAGGGCTACAGTGAATAGCTCTCAAAGTTTCTCATTTCACCAAATCACAGTCCAAGGCATGTTCAACCAATTAATAAAATTTGATCCTAAAAAGGCGTCGCCGCAAGAAGCCATTCCAGCAAAAATACTTCGAGCAAATGCAGATCTGTTTTGATTACCACTAACTGAAATTTCAACAACCTTGTAGTTGACTGTGCTTTCCCAGATGATCTAAAACTTGCTGACATTTCTTCGCTTTACAAGAAAGATGATAACATAAGAAAGCAAAATTATAGGCCTATAAGCCTACTTCCAGCTATTTCATTATTTGAGCGCATTATGTATAATCAGCTTTTTGATTACATTGCCACCTTCTTCTCTCCGCTTTTGGATGGTTTTCGAAAAGGGTATAACACGCAGCACTTTTTGTTAATCTTTTTACAAACATGTAAAGCAAGTCTTGACAATAAGGAACTAACTGAAGAAATCCTGATGGACCTTTCAAAAGCATTCGATGGCATGAATCACGATCTTTTTATCGCAAAACGAGCTGCTTATGGTCTCAGCTGGGATGCTCTCAAACTAATTAAAAGCTATTTATCAAAGAGGAAACAAAGAGTCAAAATAAACAGCTCATATAGTAGTTGGAGAGATATTACGATAGGGGTACCGCAAGGATCAGTTCTAGGGCCTCTTTTATTCAATATCTTCATAAATGACATGTTCTTCTTTGTTAATAATACTAACATTTGTAACTATGCTGGCGACAACTATCTATGCTTGCAATTCAGATAATAATTAATAGATTAGAAATAGACAGTGCTGTACTTGCAAAATGGTTTTCAGAGAATAACATGAAACTTAACGAAGACAAATGTCACCTTATGATATCTGGTAACAAATGTAAAGACTCAGTTGTCCCTATTGGTAACTCCATAATTAAAGATAATGAAAAAGCTTTTGGGAGTTACTTTTGATAAAAATTAAGTTTCACAAAACATGTCGAAGATTTATGCAAAAAGGCAAATCAAAAATTGCACGCACTTGCTCGCCTCTCTAATTATACGGACCCTGTCAAATTAAAATTGCTGATGGGTGCATTCATTAACTCGCAGTTCAATTACTGTCCCCTTGTATGGATGTTCCATGACAGGACGATCAATTCTAAGGTAAACAAAATTGCTGAGCTATTATAGTCTGCGTAATGTAAATCATTGGCAACTGCCGAAAGTAAGGACGATAATATATGGTACATAAAATCTTCAGTATAGAGGCTGCATTTTGTGGTCTTCACTTCCAAGTTTTTTGAAAAACTGTAGCACAATTCAAGAATTTAAAAGAAAAATAAAACAGTGGAATTGCGATTCATGCACCTGCAGATTGTGTAAAGTTTTTATCAAAGATTTAGGGTTTATAGATCAATTAATGTGGAGAAAGAGGAGAAACTGTCCAGCATATCGTGAGCGGATGCAAAGAGAATACAAAATAAGGCACGAAAATGTAGCGAAGAGAGTCCATTGGGAACTGTGCAAGAAGAATGGTCTTGAATATCGAGAGAGATGGTATGAACGTTCCTGAAGGTGCTGTAAAAAATGATAATGTGAAAATACTGTGGGATATCAACATACAATGTGACAATGTTATTGAGGCAAGAAGACCATACATTGTCCTAGTTGATAAGAACAACAGAATTTGCACAATCATTGATATAGCAGTACCAGCGGATGTCAGGGTGGCTGAGAAGGAACGAGAAAAGATTGGAAAATACCAGGACCTGAAAAGAGAAGTTACACGGTTATGGAATATGAGAAAGGTTCAAGTTATACCGGTAATTATAGGAGCCCTAGGGAGTGTCTCAAAAGAGTTTGAAAAATGGACAGAAAGTCTTAAAATTCCGTGCATTACAATTGAAATGCAGAAAACTGCCTTTTTAGGAACGGCTAGAATTCTAAGAAGAGTCTTAGACATGTGAATAAAGAATAAAGATGAAAGCCCTCCTATAAGACCTTGGTTGTTAGTTATGACTCGTCTAGCAGAAGTAAAACGGTAATAAGATCAGCCAGACCACAAAGGTTGAAGGAATATAATAATAATAATAATATGTTATGATGAAAGAACGGGGATAACCCACAAGGAGAATCCAAGAATGCTCGTTGAAATTCTGACGTTTTGTTCATCTTTCGCCAATTCTGTTATTCAAATATAAAGAGCTTTTACAAAGTTCTTCGTCTTCCACATTTAAGAAGCATAACGTTCCCTATAGCATATATCAAAGTTAAGGAAGACCAGATTTAAATACAGAAAAGCATTTATGCAAAAGAAATTACGCACTAAATGGTATGGTATTGAAACCACATCTCAGTAATGAAGGAGAAACTAACCAACACGATCAACAAATATATTTTAAACCATCCATTTTGTTGTAATATTAACTACTTTTCAGTAGAACTTTCCTTCTCTTCCTTGGCTTTTTTTTCCGCGTCCTTTTTCTTTTCCTTCTCTTTTTTTTCTTTGGTATCCTTTCCTTTTGTTTCCTCCTTTTCGTAATCCTTATTTTGTAGCTTGTTATTGATCAAATTATGCAAAGCAATAATTGATCGAATCATAGAGGCAACATAAATGACCAGCATTTGATCATTAGTTTTAACTAAAAATGACTTCATGAACTCATCAATATTCAGATTTGGCAAAAGATTAAAAACGTCCTGGAGTTGGTAAACGATGGCATGATTTATTGGGAGCTTTTTGGCAACAACTTGTTCTAAGTAATTTTGGATGTCGTGCAAATGTGAATGCAAGCCTTTCAGGGAAACAAGCTGATTTGTGATTCTTTGCGACAAAGTACCAACCGTAATGTTTCGAATATCCCTGTGAATAAAATAACTTCATTTAAAACTTTTGCTAGTGTAAATTTTGTCTACACAAACAAAACACCAAGTCAGAAAGATGGAGCTCTAGATTTTTTTCATTGTGAAAATTAAGCCATTTCTGGTTTCTGTGTCTAATAGCATTATGTTTAAAATCCATCAATAAGTACATTTTTAGAAACAAAAGACTTTTTACAAATATAACTGAAACAGAAGTCTATTTGTGAAAAACTAAATAAGTACCTTAAAAGGTGTTCAACTCCAACTTCTTCAGCTTCTTCAGCACCAATTTCACTCGGAATATGTTCAAATGTCTTGGATGTTGGAGTGCCATCCTGATACAAAAAAAGGCATATAATGAAAATAGCACAAGATAATGTGAACAACACCAACCAGATTCTAACATTTTGCTGCAATGTTTGGCAATGATGGCTTGGCAAATAGTTTTCAAATTCTCTTTCATCTGAACTCCTGCTGTCAACCCCTCCCCCTTTAATAGGACTGGAGCTAATACTAATTTATGTAAACTTGTGATAACACTATCAAAAATATATCAATTGCGGAAATATGTTTATATACATAAAGTCAATAAGTTCAATAGATTTCCTTGCAAGTTGAAAGTCAGATTAAACAGGCCATTACCAAATACTTCTCTGCTTTTCATCCCTGTATTGTTTAAAGTAGAAAAAGCCCTTCCATCAATTCAAAAGGATTTCGTTCCTACCACACAATAGAGTTTTGATATCTATAAGTTTATGTGTCAGTGTGATTCTGGCTACATAGGATGCACAACCCAGCATTAGAAACAAAACTTTCTCTCTAAGAGAGAACTTCCTCAGTCTTGCAGACTTTTGGTAGAGCCTGATCATCGTTCCATCTAGCGGTTTTGGAATCTATCTACATAAATGTGAAAAAGCCACTACTGTGTAGACAAAAGCAATCTTTTAGGAAACATTCTCAATATGCAAGCAGCACTGATGGGTCAACTTCAACAGTCATGTGCTCGCGTTTCTGATTGGCCTATTTCGATCTACAACTTGGTATATAAATTTCTTGGTTTAGTGTTTTTTATCTTTGTTCTGAAATTTTATACTCTGCTCATCAAAATATGCATCCAGATTTTTAATGAAAATTGACAGACAGTGATAATTACATACATCATGAACTTCCTCGACAGCTATGTATGCTTCAGTTGGGAGGCCAAGTTCCTTTGGCTTTGCATCAATTATAACTAAGACCTGTAAAAAATAAAATGCAAAATGTAATCTATACATAAACATTCAAGTGGTCTTATGCAGTTTACTCAAGATACCTGGTATAGCTCTTAATCCCCCTCCCAAATCTTAGTTAGCCTTCTATGTTGGCAGCAAATCTCTCTTGGTTTTCCCCCACTACATCAGCTCTATATGAATATAGATTCTACTAAAATGTTTGCACTCTGGTGAAAAATGTCCGAGTGGTGCGATGTGTGAGATATCTCTGAAAATCTAAAATGTTAGCAACACTATGCTGAGTAGCTTCTCTATCTGAATTCCAATATATAAATATATATTTCTTATCTTTTCTGCCTCTTATCATTCATCTTAGATTTTCTGTGAGAGACATTCTTTGTAGTCACTTAGTAGTGGACCTACAGGTTGCCATGAGATTTTGATGACTCTGACTTTGGGACTTCCACAGCTTCTGATCATGTCTGGTAAAACTTTTTTCTTCCTAAACTCCATATGTAAGGTTTGCTTTATACTCTTATCAAGTTGATTGGCAGCTTTCTTTCTGATAGATCTAATGCCATTAGGGTACCTCCCTAACCCTCATTCAATTGATGCTGGTGTTTGGTCTTTCTGTATCATAACCTCTTTCTACACAGCACTGTGCTGCTAACCTATCTATGTTTTACAGGCATTTCCATGCACACAGCTACCAGGAAATTTGACATTTTATCCCTGGTTTCCTGAGGTGTGCCAGAAAAATGAGAAACACAGATTCTCCTTAACTTTCCTTCCAAGGGCTATAAACTTTTGAACATTTGGAATGTTTTTAAAATTTTCAAACATTTGGAATGCACTTTTCTCATCCCAGATTTTTATAATCAATCAGTATAAGCACGAAAAACTGCTATTGTGTAGACAAAAGGAGTTCATTTTCCCCTTAGGACTCCATTGGTAACATTCTCAATAGGCAAGCCGCACTGATTGGGCAACCTCAAAAGTCATGTGCTCGTGTTTCTGATTGGCCTATTTTGATCCACAAACTTAGTATATATATTCCCTAGTGTAGAGTTTGTGTTCTATGGTCTGATGTTTTAGACTCTGAATAGTGTCAGACGAAAGTCTTTAGTTCAGTCAAATGTTTGCTTTTTTCAAAGCCATTTTCAAGTTTTGTACCACCAAAAGATTGTTTGAATCAGTCTTCTATTCAAACCAATATCAACAAACTTGATATAATCTTCCCATTTGTCTTAACATTTCTCTTCTTTCCCCTTTTAGAGCACTGCTAAAGGTCCCTCTAGCCTCTCCCTAACATTACCAACTAAGAAAAGGTCAACAACTAGCGAGGATTGGTCAGTGCTTAGGGCACCAGTTAGCTATTATCTGCCTCTGAGGTTTGTAATGTCATACTATTCTAAAAGGAAAAATTTAGAAAAGACCATACTATTTTTGGAATGAATTATAAAAAAAAATTTCTGTATATATCTAAGGTACTTACAGAATTTGGATTGAATCTTCTGACCACTTCATTTATCCTTATATCATTTGGATGTAGCTTTGGTCCAGTGTGATACCATCCAACAACTCTTTCTTTAGCTTTAACATAACAAAATCAATTTTAGTACTTTTAGTACTTAGTTCTTTTAAAATTCTAAACAGAATGCATAATGTGCTGATGTGCCAATTTTTGGTAGATTTTGAGAAATTCAAACCCCCTAATACTACTAAGGCACTATTAGACAGAAGTTTAACAAGTAGTTTAACATATACCCTATAAAATCATTTAAAGCTTCGGTGCAGTGCATCCTGAGATTAGTAGTTACAAGGATGTGGTATGTGTTTCCCTTGGCATGTTGTTCATGGTGGAAATCTTGGGAATCTGTCACATAATCACTTTTAACAGCTAAAATAAGGAATCAGTGATCACCAAAACTATCCCTAGCTTCTTTCAAAGCTCTTGCCAAGAATAACACGGTGGAAACTGCCAGCGAAATAGAAGTATTTATTGGCTATTTGGCCCTATTTGCAAGGTCACTTTAACTATCCAAATTTAAACCAAAGAAAATAACCTTCCAACCATTGCTCCTAAACCAAACCTCAAAAAAATTGTCATAGACTTGAAAAAGGGGTGAACCTTTGCTTTGAATACAAAATTGTTAATGAGTCTAGCCCAACGCCTAGCATCAAAGAAGAACTTGGTGGCAATTTTATGTTGATGCCTCATTTACAAATTCAGCTGAAGATGAGATCCAGGGACAGGATAATACATTTTGCACTGATCTGGCAAGGGCCATTTTTTTGCATTTTTTTGCAATAATAGGTTAGCAAATTTTTTGAAAGCTTATGTTAACATAACTTTAGAATGTTTCTTCTCACAGATCAAGAGTGGAAGCCATTTGTCTTGACTGGGAACCCATTTTCACTCATTTTCTTGGTGTTTTATCTTGATTGATGATATGTTATAGTTTTTAACTTGTTTAGTTTGGTGTAACTATCCTCAAGCTAATTGTATCTAGTATTTGTATAATAATTGAAATCTTCTCTGAATCAGACAGTTAGCGGATAGTTAATACGTTAGTGTAAATAATAACTGGAAAAAAGCAAGTATCTTCTAAAGGGGACATTTTCCGGCGTTCTTAAGTGCACGGCCTAAAAAATTGTTGGCCACACCCTTTTCAGCTCTACTACTTTCAGATTGCTGTGCCATGCCTGATCTCATTTTTGACATCTATAAAATAAACTACACACAAAAGGAAACAATTACTTTTTTCAAGTAACCATCACTCCAAGGATGCACCGATCAAAAATAGCAAATGATGTTATGAGGTAATTCAGCTATTCTTGATTCTGGACTTGATATGGGATTACCCACAAGTTCAACAAAAATTCAACACAATGGTCTAAAATCTTTTGTAAAACCATGGCAATTATGATTTGGTCTTATAACTTTATATATTTATATAATTATATAAAGTAATGATTATAATATTCCATATCTAAGTGAAGTTATACTGAATTTATACTGAATGTTTTTTATAAACATATGTATATAATCATTATAATCAGGCCTGGCCGTTTGAGGCGAGCGATAGCTCGCGCTCGCCTCCACGCTCCCCTCGCAACCTGAGGCGAGCTATGAATTGCTCTCCTAAACAGAACATGAAGGAAGAATCGCTCCCCTAAAATTTCCTATTCAGAGAATTATGAAAACGCACAAGGGTTAATTGGTTTATTTTTGTAACAGTGATTTCTCCCGTCATTGCATTTTTTGCAATTAACTTTTTGCTTGTTGGGCGGTTTTTGTTATGATAGGCATAAACTTCGATCTATTTGGAAAAAGATAGTTAACCGAAAGGTACATTTGTAGTGATTAGAACCTTTCAATCTTAAGAAAACAGGAATATTTTTGGAAGGAAAGTCGAAGAAATTGGTAGGAATTGTAGATTGGGGATATAATAAGACAGCAGGTCCCTTCCAGCAATAGAAACAAAACTATGCCTCAAAGAGAACAAGGTACTCTGTCTTGCAGATCAAAAACGACAACCAAAACATGGAATTCCACTATCCAGCAGCATTTACTGAAAAACCCAGATTGGGTGAAAACTATAACGGCAACATGTTTGGCATTATTGGCAAAGCCTGATCATCGTTCCATCTAGCAGTTTGTGAATCGATCTACTATATAAACATGACCGACCGCTTCTGTGTAGACATAAGTGAGTTCGTTTTCACCTTAGGAATCCGTTGGTAACATTTTCAATAGGAAAGCGGCACTGATTGGACAACCTCAACAGTCATGTGCTCGCGCTTTCTGATTGGCCTATTTCGATCCAAAACTGGGTATTTTAGCGTAAAGTTTTCCATCTTTGTTCTGACGTTTTATTCTCTGAAGAGTGCTAGACGTATAACTTCAGCTTGTTTTAAAAAAAATTTTCAAAGCCATTTTCAACATTAAGGCAACTGACAGATACTAAAGGGGCTTATTAAGTCATCTGTCGATTGTCTTTAACGTATATACATTCTATGTGTTACTGATTTAGCTCGCCTCAGCAAATGAGGGGAGCGATTCACAGCTCGCCTATAAGAATACAAACGGCCAGGCCTGATTATAATGACTACAGTTTGCAGGCTAAAACTACCCACCATTTACTTTCTTGAACATGGCTGACATATTTTCAAGATAATCGTGGTCCAAGTACCATACAGTTGCATCTTTATCATCTTCATCAAAAGGAACTAAAAGAATACAAAGAATCCATAAACTGAAGTTGTCCCAAAGGTTCTGCATCTTTATGCTAACAACAAAAAGTTGTATGATGCACTTCATACACTCATTTTTAACAAAAACTATTTTATATATAAGAACAAGAGCCTCAAAATTGGTCAAAAGTTTAGAAAAATTAAGAACAAGCTAAGACTTTAATTTTGATCAATGTTTCATCTCAAAAATGAGGAGAGAAATACAGCAATTGATGATGTGTGCACACTATGCCAGCACACTTGAACAAATTCAAATTCATTTAATATTCAGCAATCGTTTTACCATATTTAAAGTCAATTAAGTCTCAATAAAGATAATTAACAATTTAACAATAACTAAAATTTTAACAATAATGTTACCTAGGATATTGGGAGGAACCAAAACTGTTTTTGAGCCCAACCAGTGATGGACACCTGGGGTCAAGGGGGGTGACTGCCCCTCCAATACTTTAGAGGACAATGGTCTTCTGTTCCAAAGCAATGGGAAATGTGACATCATCTTATCAAGACAATAGGCTTGCCCCCCCCCTAATATTTGACCAAGTGTCCACCCCTCAGCCCAACTCTCTAACTTTCAGTGAAATAGTAATATGACCAAAGTAACAGTGAAAAGGACTTATAATAACAAAAATTTAGGTATTTAAACATTACAAGATAATATGAATTCGAATTAGACAAATGCACACAGCATCAACTGCTGTTTCTTTTACATAAGAGATTAATTCAGGAACTGCCATACACTGCAATGCAAGGTTGGAAAACATGTATGATTATGGCTACGGAAAGCTCTGAGCAATAAAACTTTCAAATGCGAACCGGCAAGGCATTTGAGCAACAAGCAATGTAGATTGTGCTCTTATAGGCATTTCACTTAAAGTTATTGACATGGCAAGGTGTTAGTGCAAGAGAAGTATGTTCTGCAACATATTAACGTTCATTTAAAGGGTAGCTGTGAGCATATGAAAGTTTTGCTGCCTGGATGCAGCTAAGAAAAGAAGGCCTAGCCCAACAAAATATATCTTTAATCGGCGAAGGTGAAGGATCCGGTTCGGATAATCCGATTAACCTCGTGTCATACACGTCAAGGAGTTTTTTTGACTACATCAACGGATCACAGGTCGCCTAGGGTCAGGGAACGCTCTCCTAGAAATATGACATCAAGCAAAACATGGTAGCTCTCCGGATTGTTCATGTCCGCCTCTTTAATCTAGGTACTAGCCGTAGCAGGTAGGCACGTTCCATTTTTCATAAAAGAGCATATTTTGTTTGAATTAGTAAAATTAAATAACTTCATTCAAATGGAAATTACCTGCAAAGCTGTTCGAAATGTCCAATATTTTATTTCTCCTTGACCCAAGCAAGACTCCCACAACCCTTTGAACATTGCCAGTTTTTCCAATTCTGTTAAAGTGATCCACGACACTCAGTAGTACTAAGGGATGCACTACAACCTTATCAATCAGTTGCTCTTTCGTTGTTTCTTTGTCTACACTTGATGATTCCATAGCTCTTTTTAGTTTTATTTAGAAAGTTTTGATCAATATTACTACAAAAACGGCTGGCCTAACTTAAACGCTTGCTCTATTCACTTTTTGTAGAGGGATAGTGGAGGCTTCTTCATAACGAGGCAAAATCAATAAAGCCCCCTGTTTCCAACATAATTTCAGGAAAAGCTGAGGTTTTATTGCAGTGAATTTTATCACAGTTGTTTGTGGATTTGTTAAGAATATAGATGATAGATAATGTTTTCAGGGAAGAAGCTATTTAGATTAAGCAGAAGCCTATATACAACGAAAATATTTCACCAAAGTAGTAGATGCGAAAGATGCAATTTATTACGAAGGACTACCAGCAAAAAAACAATTTCTAGTAATAAACAGAGAAGCTGTTGGATGTCAGCAACATTAGATGACAGATATAAAATGCAAATTTTCCAAAACAGCAGGGAAAGGGAATTAACAGAGAACACTAGCAGCCATCTTCAAATATCTAGACCTGTGGACAAGGATTATCTAAGTATCGACGAGCTTGTGTCAATTTTAAGAGATAATTCTTGCGAAGATCTTTGTGTTATTAAGGTAGATGTTACAAGAGTCCAATTCCATTATGTAGACTATTTTATTGTTGTAAGTGGACGCTCTGTGAGGCATTTGAAGTCAATGGCAAACGCACTGTGTGCCAAGGTAAATATTTTTTCATTTTTTGAAGGTCAGGTTCGTTAACATACGTTTCTGTCCCCCAATTTTTGGGTTGTGTGTGCCTACAATGAGCCAGAAAAATCACGCTGGCATATAAACATATGTAAAGGAACCCTTTAGGAAGGTAGGAACACAATATTTCGAATGAATGTAAGGGTCCTTCTTGTACTGTAGACAACTTATGGATTGATTACAAAGAAGCATTGTAATGATAAATTTGATTGTTTTGAAGTAGAAAGGACATGATCTTTAGCACTGGTAGTTCGGGACAAACTGGATACTTTTGCAGATCAAACTTCATTACAGCCAAAAGACTTACAGTAACATATCTTGAATAGCCATTATTCTGGCGAGTTTTTAGTAAAGTTTTAGTTTGTTCTCTTTGAATAGATCAAATTATTAGTTTACTTGGAACAAAGTTTTGAAGTGATTGTTTTTTCAGTGTTTGGGTAAAAAGTGCTCCAGTCAAAGGGGGTCTTTTTATAGCACATGTCAATTCCTCTTTTTTTAGCAATGACCATAATAATATTAGGATGAACATTTCTGACAAAATGCAAATTTTCTATCACCTTATTTGCTTGGATATTCATATTGTTTATGAATATTGTTTTTGTATTTGGCTTTCCGGCTCATTTTTGTTCATTGGTGTTTGCCAAGGGTCTTTCATCAAGATGTCAAGATGCCTCGGTTTTCTATGGTTTATTCTGCAGACCCTGACTACTGAAAGATGTTTTGTTTTGTACAGCACTAGAATAATACATTCTGCTCTGTTCCATTGATTTGTATTTTATCATTTAAAGTTCCTGCTTGGACAAGTCAAAAAACACATGTGAGCTCCAATCACAAGCACTTTGCTCCAGTCAGAGGGAGCTGGCCAATCAGTTGCCATACTGAGGGGAGGAAAACTTGTGGCAGGAGTTCAAAAACCTAAAAATTCAACTTTTGGGGTTTACCACTTCTTTTTGACAATATTCAGTTTCTGGCACATAGGGTGACAATAGGTTACCTTTTCGATATTCCTCAACTGTTAGGGAAGAGATGGGTAGAAAAAGAATAAGATACTTTTCAAAGTATATTGGAAGCTTATGTAAGTGACTGAATTGGAGTCAAAAGCAATCAAACCATGGCCTTTAGAAATTTCATATGAATTTATAAATTTATGTGCCAGTGTGATTCTGGCTACGTAGGACGCACCACTCAAAGAGTGGAGGATAGAATAAAACAACATGTTCTGTCTAATATTAGAAACAAAACCCATCCGCAAAGAGAACAGCCACCTCGGTCTTGCAAATCTAAAATTACAACTAAAACCTGCGATTCTGCTATCGGGCAGCATTTACTAGAAAACCCAGGTTGTGCAAAAAACTATAATGGCAACATGTTTCGGATTATTGGTAAAGCCCGATCGTTGTTCCACCTAGCAGTTTTGGAATCTATCTACATAAGAACGAAAAAACCGCTACTGTGTAGACAAAAGGAGTTCGTTTTCACCTTAGCACTCCATTGGTAACATTCTCAATAGGCAAGCAACACTGATTGGTCAACCTATACAGTCATGTGCTCGTGTTTTCTGATTGGCCTATTTCGATCCACAACTGGGTATATATATTTCCTAGCGTAGAGTTTTCAATCTATGTTATGACGTTTTAAACTCTGAAGAGTGTCAGACAAAAATCTTTAGTTTACTAAATGTTTGCTTTTTTCAAAGCCATAAACTTTGATATAATTTTCTTTGTATTATGGCATTTTGTTTTATGTTATATAGTGGTGCTTTGTTAAAAATGTTGTTTGTTTTTATTAATTTAGTTTAAGGAAAAGGTTAGAGAGAGGAGAGGGAAGTCTACAGCAGTTGTTGAAGGGGAACATTGCAATGATTGGATGGTTGTTGATATTGGTATGGTTAGTTTTCACTCAATCTTGCTAGTATATGGAAAAACTTAGTTTTGAAACATTTTATTTATAGTGAATTCATGCATATTGCAGTTACAGATGATTTCTTACCAATATTTGATTAACAGATCAAAACAACAAAAATTGCATTTTATACAAAATAAACTTTGAATTTCAGTTGAATGATTGGAACCAGGGGCAGCTTGGGGTGGTATTAAAGGTATTCATCAAGTAAAATTTTTTAGGAAGCCTGCAATTCAAAGAGCCAATCTTTATTTGTTTTTAAGTTCATTCAATTAAAGCTTTTTGAAATCCTTATTCAAATGATCAAAATGTGCCTGATGTTTAATCCATGCCATATTCAACATCCTTTGCCCTGGTAATTTTGCCCCTATGCCTCCAAAAATTTCTTTGTCTGTTTTGAATATGCAAAACATTCCTGGAAATAACTTTGAGAATATGCAAAAATGAAGTTATACTTTTGCTTGTAATGTCTTTTGCAAAAGATAATTTGATTAACAAAATTTAGACAGCGGATGTAAAGGGCATCATAGATGAAACCATTTAAGGGCCCCTGAATCAAAAGTTAGTTGTATAACCTGTGGTTGAAGTCTTGATTCAAATTAATGAATATCCATGCAATTTAGCATCAGAAACTACTCCAAAGAGCGAGAGGTAATGTTTTGTCACATTTTTTCTCTAATCAGATGATACAATTTGTGCTGCATTTTTCTATATACTGTAATTTGCAGTAGCCAACATTCATGTGTATTTCATAGGAGCCATTATTGACCCACAACAGGCGCGATACGTTACCTCTTGAGAAAATAATTTTCAAAAGTAACTTTTGTGTCTGGGGGGACTGCAGAGGCAGTAACTTAAATTGATTTTTTGAGTGATGCAACATTTAAGGATGCAGCATTAAAAGTTGCAGTGTTAAGAGATTTAGCATTGAGAGATGCTGTATTGGGAGAAGTTGCTTGGTTACTAAAATGAGCATAGCACTGCTGTCGTTGTTAAATGTCAATATGGCAGGGAATCGATTGCATAGAATATGCCTATCAAAAAAATTAATATTTATGCTTGTTTTGTGAAGCTCTTGAAATGTAAATGCTGCTATTTGCAGATGTGGATGAGATTGATAAAGGTCATTTGGGAGACAGCAAATTTGCTACTTGTATCTTTAAATCTTTCATTTGTAGGCAACATTGTTGTCCACTTCATGATGCCAGAAACCAGGGAAATTTACGAACTGGAGAAGCTTTGGACTTTAGGACCGTATTTTGACGATCAGCTGGTAGAAATGGCAAATCTCCCTGACAAATCTGAGATGGTGTTGCCATTTAAGTCTAAATTTACAAGCGGGAAGCGGCTTTCAAAGGGGATGAAATGTGACTAACATGACGTGTGGTTGCATAAAATTGAATGTACGCTTCTGCAGCAAAGATGCTGATGTACCAATGCATCAATGTCAAAATGTATCAAGTATTGATTTGGGCCTACTGTTTCATGGCTGTATTTTTGTATTTCTAACCTTTAGATGCCAAAAAGAAACCACTATGTTGTGATGCGTGTCCTAACTGAAATGATTTTTTATGTGTTCTAGATCTATTTATTCCTAAAGCCTGTTCGAAACAAAGAGGTTTTAATAATACATTAAAATATTCATTGCTCTAAAGCTCACTCCTCCCATTCATTTTACTCATTTTTTCAGTAACATTTTCTTTCCCGTTCAAATTAGTAACTCAACAGCCTGAAGCAAAGTACTGCGCTGTTCTACCAAGGGGTGGTGTTGGGGCCTGTAAGTTCAAGTGTTCTCTCTAAAATCGGTTTTTGAGCCAGAAAAAGAAACTGCTTTGCATAATCTAGCTTGAATTTAAGAATTTGAAGATCTCATATTTACCAGTTCTCTACTCTAAAATATAGGATCTTTCATTGAATGTATTGATTAGATTTGCATGGGGCAAAGGTCATACAACATTTCATGACACCTCTGTCAATAGAAAGCAAAGACTTAGTAGCGAGCCGCGTACAATTTCATCTATTCTTAAGCTTGACATCCACTTTTAGCTACTTTGACCTTGTTTGCAACCGATGCAATCGGAATATTTTGGTGCAAGAAACATTACTCCTGATTCGAAACTCCCTGTTTATGGTCGATACCAAACCTCCATAAAGTGGATTGACAGCATTCTTTCCCATAAGTCCAAAGCCTTTAGAGTCGATGGCCACCACTTCAGTCCTTACACAATATATGCTGGTGCTCCACAGAGTTATATCGTATCTCCTGTTTTATTCATTCGTTTCAACAATCATCTACTTTCTTCGACCTTTATAAGTATCATTCTTTCGCTGATGACACCTAAACTTTTTAGGGTCCTTTTGGTCACAACACAATTCACTGATGAACACTACCTTTCAAAGAAATGTGAGAAGTGGGTAAAACTTTCTCATTGATTTTTCTCATCCAAGTATCTGTTAGCCTTTTACAAATCGGAATTCGTCCTACTTTAGATTACTGCTCTCATGTTAATCGTACCGCTTCTAAATCTTCTCTAGGTTTTCTTGACACAATCTATTCAAAGGCCATTTGCCCCAAGTATCATCAAATAACGTTTTCATTGGTATTGATTGTTGAATTTTTTCTTTTCGGCCATTTTGATAACTGGGTTATCGATTTTAAGAAAGCTCGTTTTTCATTCAAACAAGAGTGTTTGTTCAAATCGCGTCTATAGATTCTAATTCGATTGTTTTTCAAGTCCTTTTTCCAGGCTGTTTTGTTACATCTGCGGCAAATCGTTATAATGATTTATAGCTTATATTTGATCTGTAGTCAACGAAAAAATTTAAGCATGGCTTTATCCTATTTTCTGGTAGTTCACACACACAGTAAGGAAGGTAAAGTATCTAAACCTAGAAAAAAATAATTGGATAAAATGAATACTTTCTCAAAAAAACTTTTCGAAATATTTGGATGTATTCATTAACGAAAAGTCAAATTCGAAACATTCTTATAAGTCAAGTTGATATAAAACATTGAAAAGCATCAGTATTCTTCTCTATATATTAATGAAATATGTTTCCTTATAAATTTTAAGCATTTGTTCGTTTTTCTAGCCACAAGTGCTCTATGCTCTGCTCCATGATCAACACTAATTTTCGATGCAGTTGTTGCTAAGCGGTTTGAATGATAAAATCTGCTTAATACATTGTTCATGGTAACCCAATATGGGAATTAGGAATTAGGCTACTTAACTTTGAGCCAGAAAACTCATGTTTCGTATAGTTAAATAAAATAAATTGCTGTTTGGCATAGATTTAAACTTGATTTGGCTTTTTTATTAGAAATGTAATTGCGTTACAACGGCACATGGTGCCCATCCTCAAGAGCCCCATCAGCGTTAGATTTTCATTATGAATTGTCGGTCAAGGGCAAAGGTCTTGCAACGTTTTATAAACCCGTTTAACTGAACCGCATGAACACAAGAATATCGATAGAAGAGCTCCACTACTGAATATACAGTGCTACGTAGGTTTGGAAAGTTGATGTATTTTTGTGTAGAGTCTGGCCAAAATGTCTCATATCCAGCCTTTCGTAAAGTCAAGCAAATCAGTGCCTGAATCATTGAAGAAGACCATTTTAACAGCTTGCTAGATTATGCTTATTTTAAGCAGAATTGAAATCGGCGTGTAGTTGACGAAGTGTCTAACATCTCAACTTTTAAACATTTCTAGGAAATCTTCCTACGTAAAGTTTGTTGTGATGATGGCAGCTCAGCAACTTTACATACTTAATTAGTTTTTTGGCTTTGCTTTCACCAAAATGCTAATTATGTGCTAGCTCAAAAGTCTTATTTAGGGACGCGTCGAAGTATCTACAACAGGGGGGGGGGGAGGATATGTGGCTTTATCCAAAAAAGATTTCATAGCCCCTTTAATAAAGGACAGAAAAATTCCATGGCCCGTTGTGAAAAGACAAATGTTTTTCGTGGCCCATGTCAAAACTTCATGGTTTATTTTTCAGCTTGCTGATAGCATTTAGTTATCTAGATGTTTCATTTTGTTGGTATGTTTTCATCATGACATTAAAATTGTTGCCATCAAAATCTTGAACCATCATTTACACTCATTCACGCTGGTCTACATGAAACGAAATATGTATCTACATGAAACGAACTCTGTTGTAGCTTGTGGTGACACGACCACTTTTTGTTTTTATGAAAATACTCTCAGGAACAAAGTCATTTTCGATATTTTCTCTTTCACCATCACTGTCATTATCTCCCCTTTTACTGTCACCATCGTTACTGGCTGTTGCACGAATCACATCATCCTCTGTGCTGCTGCTATAATCTCCAAAATTGCTACCATTTCCATTTTCTGGAAGATCATCTTTTTCCATTTCTGTTGCTGGTTTGTCTATAGCATCATCTCTTGCTGCATTCACTGGAACAAGCGTTGTTGCAATATGTCCTTTAATGAAATTCACCTTTGCGGTCTTTTTAAGCTTCACAGCATGTTTCAGTTGATAATGATGAAGGTTTTTATCCAGAACATTTACTGTCTGTTTCTTTAGCAAGCCATTGTGAAACAAATCAACCCAATAAAACTCATCAAGCTACTTTTCTTTGTTTGCCTCCCGATTTTGCTTTCTCACATCCTGGCGCTTTTCATTTCGTATTCTTTTACCATCCAAGTGATTTAGATAGTCTGGCAGTCTAATTTAGATAGTTAGTTAGTCTGCCTGTTTCAAACATAATTTCAAAGGTTGAGAAAATGCTTGACCCCAATAACAAAGATGTGGATGGCAATGCCATCAATGTCACCAAATATTCATCTGCACTTATAAGGATCAGTGTACGTGATGTTCACTGTGTTGAAAATACTAAACTCAAGGTAGAGACATTTCTGCAAGAACTTTCAGACGTCAAGGAAACCACTGAATGTTTAAAAATGTTTAAAACCGCTGTTAGATCAGAACATAAAGAGCGCCTTCAAAACCATCTTGTATCTCAAGGTACCGTTCTTTCCTTCATCTTTGACCACTCTCTTCCTATAGCCTCTAAAATATGGACCACGGCTCAAAGCAACATGCCCAAAAACATTTACAGTTTAACTATCAAAAATCTTAGCAACTCCCTTGCCGCGCGAAAAAACCTATCTAAATGGAACTCTGCATTAAACTTCCTAGCACAGTCTTTTAGGGCTATACCTAATTGCTCTCTTTTACATAGACCTTTTAGGTTATCTCACACCCTCTATCATAACAGGAGACTCTTTCCGTCCTGATCTACTTCTAGTCACTTCTGACCATCGCCTATTCATACTCGAGCTTACAGTAGGATACGAAACTAACTTGGATGTTAATGCTGACCGCAAAAGAGAGAAATACTTGCATCTCATTCACAGCCTAAGCTCAGCCTATTCTTCTATCATGTTTGTTAATCTTTCTATCAGTTCCCTAGGTATCTTTGGTCTCTCCTGCTCCTCTTTCATGTGCAACGCTCTAGATATCAGCGAGAATCATCTCCGCTTCATGATTTCCAAACTATCCAACTTAACTATCCGTACTACCTATTACATTTTCTGCCGCAGAAATAAATCTTGGAATAATCCTGAACTTCTTCAATTCTAACGATCTCTGCTACTGACAACTTCTAAAACAAACAATGACGAACACACTTTTTCCTTTTTTGTTAATTTATTTTGTTTGTGCTTTTAATAGTCTTTTTCTTTGTAAACCCAGGCTAGCCAATTGCAAATTACTCTTTTAATAGTGAAGTTGGTAATTGTATTTTAATTGAATTGAAAATGAAAAGTTTCCATTATCATTATATATTCATATACACTCCCCTCACGAAAGTACCCGGACAGTTCGAAGATCGATGGCGCTTTCAGACAAAAACAAATTTAGGCTGGCAAAAACGACTTTTTAACTTAGTGAAAATGATTTTTTGAGAAACCCCCCAAAATATGAGAAACCTTTGCGCTCAAGCCTTACGCAAATCAACTGATGTCAAATAGGCGAAGAACAGCAAAGTCAGGTGACTTGGACTCAGTTAAAATGGGCCAATAAAGCATGGTAATTTTTTACAAACTGGTTCTTGAGACACACATATTTTCGAATAAATAGAAATTCAACGTGTTTACTCTCAGTTTGGAAAAATGTTAGCATAGAGATGCCACCGATCGATTATAAAACTTCCTTGCAATTTCCTTGAAAGTTTTATTGTTTATGAACATTTAATGCAGTTTTGCGTAATGATGCAAACCAGTTTTGATGCAAATTTGGTTAGGGCTGAACGCTCAGACGTTGGTGTCGCGAGAGCTCTTGCTCTTTTTAACCGTGAACAATTTTTTAGACTTCTTGTTTTACAAATCTTTTTGCATATCTCGAAAGCGGCAGTCTTTGGGCATTCAATGATACTAGCAATTTAATGATAGCTTTTTTCCATCATTGTGGTAAAACATTATTTCTAGACACTGCTCAGAAGTCAATTCATGTCTTTCGGTCGCTACCATCTTCAGGAAAAACCCTCACAGAGTTTGCTGACATATCAATAAAATTATACTTTTTCGACGAATACATAGATTAAAGGCCAAAAAAACGTCAAGAAAAAATTCGAGGAAATTGATTAAAACGTTTTCATGAAAACTGACACTGAAATTTGTAAACAAATTCCTCTAACAACAGATTCGCAACTGAATTCGAAACTGTCCGGATACTTTCGTGAGGGGAATGTATATAATTTTTTCCATTATTTGCTGGCTATGAACATTTTATCTTTTAACACTTATAGCATAATTCTGTTTTGTTAACTTCAGTATAAAATTTTTTTCTTTTTCAAACTTCAAATAAAACTGCTGTAACATTTAAGGCTATATACTTTTATATTGTTATTTAACCTTGCACAAGAGGGCACAGGACTCGATTACCGATTTGGTTTATCCCAGTGCCATGGACAACATTTTGGCATGTTTTTTGAATTATTAGTTTATGTTTTTGATTTTTCCTCTCTTATTTTTAATTTTATATTACATACGTTACATTGTAAATGATGTTGTTGAATAACATGAAATTGAAATTAAAAAAAATTGCACCAAACAAGTTTTCGTTTTGCAAATACTGGTTATTGGGCACCCTATATCATTGGCACCCTGGTATTCAGGGTTACAACGAGGCTGGGCCCAGTCTTCTTGGCTTTTGTTTACACCCTTCCACGTTTTAGTGTTTTCAAAGCTATTCCTGGCAATTTAGGTACAACGATTGTGGAAAAGAGTCCGGTGGAACTGATTATAGAAACGACTTGAACATGGCATCTTGTTTGTTTTCTCGTGGACGGCTGTTGGTACCAAGACTGAGTACTGTCTTGCGGCCCCAACTTTGTTTCAAATCTGAATCTGCCAAGGAAGCATTCAGGAAAATATTCCCACGCATGGGGGCAGGTAAGCTGAAGGCCAGGTACGATGCAAACAGTTATGGACAAACAGTTGGCCCTGAGTACCCTTTTGACATCGAGAAAACACCCGAAGGAAAGTTGAAACGAGAGAAGTCAAAGGGAACAATGGGCTCTGTTACAGTGGAGGAGATTGTTGATATACTAAGAAGTAATGGCGGAGAAAATATTAAATTGGCGAAGCTGCACCAAGATTTACATTATGCGGATCATTTTGTTATTGTCAGTGCGAAGAACACAGAACATTTAAAGTCGATGACACAAGAGCTTGCATCAAAGGTTTAAGATTATCTAGTCAATACTTGCTGCTATACTTTTAAAACCATAAAACCACATCTGGTTCGACCAGGCCGTCGTTAGCTTAGCTCTTGTGCCCAAGAGGGTTCTCGGATTCCTTTTGCCAACAAAGTGTGTGGCCCAGCCTTTTTTCCAACAAAGTCTGAAAAATTGCCAATGAAGTACCTTACATTGCAAAAAACTCCTCGTTTTTGCTATAATTTTTTTTTCCTAGAGGGTGTCACCCCCTCGCCACTCCCCATTGTAGCCCTATTCGGTTTTGCCCTTGCAAATACTCTGTTTTTGATTTTTTGGCATAAAAAGAATTTTCCATGATGTTACAATTGTTGATTTGGAGATTTTTCTATAGTCCTGATGAACTTTGCAAGTATAATGAGATTTCAAGGCAATAACTTGTTGAATTTCCAAGGACCTAACTGCTAACATTTTTTTAAGCTCATTGCTGCACACCAAGGAGATGCAATACATGTAGAGGGGCTGGGAAGCTTTGACTGGATGGTTGTTGATGCAGGTTTGTTATATTTCCTTTTTTGGCAATTTTCGTCTCTTGTCTCTCTCTAATTAACTTCTAATGCCATACTGGAAACTTTGCCATGCTTCTGCAATAAACGGTCTAAACACTCAAATTTTCCATCTGTGCAGTTTTACATATTGGCCACGCAAAGTCCCTATTCCATAACATTTCATATTTCAGGCATGCTGCTGCAAATTTGCAAAATTATCTTGTCTGCGCAAGAATCAAAGTTTCCAGTTTAGTCTTGATTTATTGCAATTTTTTAGTACAATTCAATAGAATACAAGGCAATATTTTGCCTTTTGTACAAAAATAGTGTAGCCAAAACCATAAAAAGAACAGAGGTAGATTCAGGCAGTTTGATTTACTTTTTTTACCTGTGTCTTCTATTCTCCTCCCCCAATAAAGTCTACCCAAATTGAGAAGGGATTTTTCAGGTGCTGTAAAGAACAACAGATATTACCACAGATTGATCCAATTTTTCCACTTTAAAATGAGAAAGAAAAAAGATGAATATCTTGTGTTTAAAGGGAATTTCAGAAGCTTAATTTTGAAGGTTTTGTTTGTGTCTGAAAGAAATCTGAACTCTAGCTTATGGGGTGAGTTTATAGCACCCTATACCAGGATAAATATAAAATCAATGTTGCCTGAAGCATTATGTTCAACTGTGAATTTAGCATCACCTGTATCTGAAAAATCTCAGCCTTAGCTTGTAACACAGTCAATTTTTTATTAATTCATTGACTTGATGTTGAAAAATTCCCTGTCCCACAAATTTGTCATTTCAGTAACACTACCTTATTTACAACGGGTATCCCCATCATCCTAGGAATCATATCTAGAGGCTTCTAATTAAATAAGATTCATGTCACATGCCCCTGCATATTGCTTGACTGCAGAGTACAGCAGTTTCCAACAAGATCTCAGGTAAGCAACAGCAGAATTTCAAGTATGCAAGTGTGCACTTTGGTCTAAGTGTGATGCCTAAACACAAATGCAGCATTCTTAACCAGATGTGCAGGGGAATTTTAGAAAAATTAACTTGTGGGTGCACTTGCTGATCTCTGCAGTCTGAGTGTAGTGTTTTTCTGTAAGGCTCAAGGTGTTCTTAAAAAGGAGCTTGTTTTTATCAGGTCAAGTTGTTGTTCATCTGTTCCTGCAGCACATCAGAGATGATTACAATATAGATGAAGCTTGGGCAGAAAAAGAAGGATCTGCTGTCTGAAACAAGTATATATTGAAAAAATCCATATTCTTGCAGTTGAAAAAACACTCACACTTGCTGCTCTTAGCCTAGCTTCAGCTTTAGATACCTCTTGTTGTTAAATTGTAAAGGAGACATGAATTCTTTAGCTTGAAGATATGTAAAATTTTACAATATTTTGAATTCATTAATAAACATTGTCAAACAAGAAAATTTGCTCAACACACAAATTTTATATTACATAAATATTCACTTTATCAACTTGTTTGATTTAATTGCATCTACTTCTCAAAAATAACCATCAAACCTTTGTAGGTAAATGTGCAACATGATTTATATATCTTTATTTGTACCTTTATCCAATCTTTTTGTGTCATTTTTTTGGGGAGGGGGTAACCTCCACGTACACTGGTACAATCCCCAGTCCTCTGCCTATTGAAGTTACCCCCCCCCCCAATTTGCAGCATAATTATTATCCCAACCATGCTTGTTGAATTTTCAAATGTTCAAGATGTATTTCAGTGAAGTTCAGTGAGTAAGGGAATGGAGAATTTGTTAGGGACAAATTGAAAAGTTGCTGTGGGCATGAAAAACTTAAATCTATGGGCAAACCATGCAGGGAATTTTTTGTTGACTTGACCTTCTGACTTTCTGATGATGTGGGAAGCACTCTTTCTGTAAACTTATTGAATCATTTACTTGTAAATGCTAGACATCTATATTGCATTTTTTCCATATGAATTTCGTTTATAACTCAATAGAGATAGAACGCTGAATGGTTCAGTTATCAAAGGATGTTTTATCAAACATGTATTGTTTTTAGCCTTTATGGTATTTTTTTTGGGGGGGGGGCTGGGCTCTGGATGTGGCATCATCTGTGCTTATAAAGTAACTGAAGTATCAAGTGATCATAATAAGATCCATGGAATACACGTAAACCTGATAAAAGACTCAGGGGTGTAGTGCTAGGGGGCTCAGGGGGCTGAGTAAATTGTGCAATAGCCCCTCTTGTTATTTTGCGCAACATTTTGTGCAATAGCCCCTCTTGTTATTTTGGTAGCACTGTAAGTTCTGAGTTTTCTCAACAAACAGGCACAAAATCAGGATTTGCTTGAGTTTTTCTCGCTTGGACGCCCTATGACCAAAGATCATGTGGTGATCGCAGATTGGTTTTATTTACCTTTCACGGTTTTTCGTCTAGGAAGTATTTGTTTGTCGGGCAACGTTAGCTATGACAATTTAAGTTGTGCTGTAGTGTTTTGATTCGATGAAGCACCAATCCACCACCAAAGTTCCACCTACATCTGGTTTTCACTTGCATTCCATCGATGGCTTCCTAATTGAATGAACTGAAATTGACGCCCTCCTGCAAATTGATGATGGCCTCTCCCAATTCACTCTCTAGCTCTGGAGTCACTCTAGGTAAGATGTTTTTTACATTTTCTGTTATTGAAACGCATTGCAGGAATTGTGAGCTGTTTTAAGTTAATATCATGTCAAAGTACGGTTTTGTTGCTGTCGAAGTTTTGTCTGGATTAATTTCTCTGACTGGGCCTAGGCATACTTTAATTCCTTGCTAAAAATGATCTCGACAATCAACGCTAAACCCTCTATCCACAGGGCAGTTTTTGATGGTTGAAGATATAAACCAAGCGGGAATTATCGCGTACAATCTTCGGCACTTGGATCATCATGATGTTATTATGGTAAGGAAAATTTTGGAAGAAAACTGGGAAGACGAAGAACAAATGGTCTCGAACCTACTCCAGTATCCCCATTTGATTCCAGAAGACATTCGCATACAGAGTTTGAAAAGGGGGCTTCATGATGTGGAGAGCCCCTATTATATCCTGTCATCATCCGTGGGCTTACAACGTATTCAGTTGTGCGATGGCGACTGGGAGCAAGTTGTCGAAGGACTAAAGAAAGCTTGTCTTCACGAAACTGGCGTTGTTTCGATGAGAGCTTTCATGACTTTACAGCCTAAACTCGAATATCCAAGAGATCTGGAATTTATAATTGATATTTTAAGACAGCCCAAGTCTGCCTTATTTCAAAATACTCTGATATGGTTAACCATAAAGGCGAACGAGAAAAGTGAAATTTTAAAGATTATCGATACGGCTGGAGTTGTTGGGAAGGCGAAAAATAAAGCTGAAAAAATTATCGAAGAACAATTGAAATCAAAGGGTTCTGGTAAGTTGTTTGAATTAACTAGTAGTTGTTAGTGAACACCTCTGATTGGTATAAGTTCGCATGAACCCCCTTCTCATCGATTTGCCACTAAATTTAATCCCCATTATTCCTACTATTTGCTATGGAACGAAGGTTTTGCTCCTTTGAAGGCGAATTAACCACAGATTCCTTTGCGTTGGCGGTATCACAGATCTTTTGTGACTGGGGATTAAACCCCCAGGACACGTGTATGGAGAGTGCCAACTCATTTTATGGCCCTCTTCTGTCACAGAGTTGGAACAGATTCTCTTGCTACCAGCTTAGCATAAATACATTGCTGATATTATTGGGCATCTGATCAGTGTCAGAAAGTTATCTTTTGAAAAAGGGAAACGATAGACACTAATATATTTCGCGTCGAGAATTAGATACAAGTTAACGAAATGATTATGTAGACGGATGCCGCACTATTTTTATATATAGCGGAGAATGGCGCTGTCTTTAAATTGAATTGGGTCGAATTGATGTTGGTTAAACATGTGCAGGTGATCTGTCTGTAGGAATGATAATGAAAGTTATAAATTGGTTTCTTTCAAACAAATTTAATCGCATATTGTTCAGACACGGTTGCCATAGGTTGCACTTGCATCTGTTCTTTGCAAAACATTAACAATCAACTGTTCAGTGATTGGTTCTAACAGGCCTCTCAGGCCATAGTTTTCAAAGTTTGGTTTGCACTGTGAGTTAGAAATGGCATAACTAGCTATTCTCATTATTGAGACGAAATGCAATTTTTGTATTTTCTACTTTTCGTTGCCCCTGAAAATTCAAATTTCCCCTTTCCTCCCAAATCAATGTTCCATTAGTAGTCCTTTCATTTGTGCTTCAAAAATATGTATTGAACATTGAATCGGGGGAGGGGAAATTTTTTTCCAAAGAGAAGAGAAAACATTAACTATTCTCGTTTTCTCCATGAATCCGCAAGATTCCGTTTTTCATAGATCAAATCTAAAAACCAATCATTGTCCGTACATCTTCCCTGGCAAAAATCTGTTCTTTATATTAGAGGCAGTCTGTCCTCTATTGTGCTCGACTTTATTTTCACGGGAGTGAAATTCACGCACCGTTGAGCTTGGTCGATTATTAAACTAGTTAAACCAATCAGAGACAACTTTGATTCTTGATTCAACAGAGCTTTTGAAGCAAATGGCTGTGTTCCCGTTGAAGTGTAGCTGTGGCTAGAAAAATGTGGTTCCATTTTCGGTTTGTGCAACAGATATGTCAACAGCGAAAGAAAATGCTTCCATTATCATTCAATTCAAGTAATTAAATCTTCTTGCCATTTCCGATTGCTTTTTGCTCCCAGTTTCAAATGTTTTCCATGACTGCAGCTAGGATAGTAAAAGCGAGGAGCGTAATCCGTTAAGGCGGGAAGACTAATTGTTCATATTAGCCAATCATTGAGGGGACAGACTGCCTTTCAGGTACCGATCAACATTGAGATATAAGTACAATTAGCTTGTTGGTTTTCCGAGAAGCCTTAGAGCTCTATGTCCAAAAATGGGTTTTATCAAATTGCGTGAGGAATTATTAATGTTCTTCTTGCAAGTAAACCTCTTTGTAATATAATACTTGGCTATCGTTTGTAGCCTGGAAATTGAAGTTCATTACCAGTCTGTTGGATATCCGTTAAACAAAGACATTTGAACGGCATCGTTCTCGCAAGCCTGCTAACGATCTTTAGAACGACATTTTTATGTTACATTCATTGGGCTGTTTGCTACTAGATCTTGCCATAACATCGCCTGCTTCTAACATTCTGACTTGCCCTGAAGCTGACTTGAAAATCTTAATGGCTCCAGATCTACATAGATTGTGTCTTTCTAAAAGCCGTTCCTTCTTTTGTTTTGGACCACAGTAACTGGATCAACTGCCTGAAACAAAATCATCTGCCTTAGGCCTATCAATTCATGTCATTCAATGAATACGGTCCTTTATTCCCTGATAAGGCTTTTCTTCTTTCGTTTTAGATGGCGGACAGAATTTATCCTTGCAGTTTCTCAACTATATTCCCAATTTGAATGACTTTGAGTCGATGCTTGACAAGCAGGAAGCGCTTTCGGATTTTTTTGTGGACTTAGACCAAGATAAAGATGGCAAGGTTTCCTTGAAGGATGTCCAAAACTTTCTAGAAGATATTGGAAAGAAGATTTCAATAGAGGAGATTAAAAAGGATTTGAATTCTGTAGATATAGATTTATGTGACAGCCTTGACAAGGATACTTTCATAGAGTTTATGTTCCCTCGTTTCCAGATGCGGTGAATGGTACTGCAAGCGAGGTTAGTCCGAACTGTACTGTAGTCTGACCCGCAATTTTTCATGGATTAACAGCGAAAGTGCCAATGTCATGCTGCCTAATGCGGCGGACAAGTGCGACGCTTTGAAATTTAGAAAATAACAGCACAAAGATAGTATAAAGCATTTTTTTATATATCCTGAAATTCTTGAATAGATATACCTTGAATGATTCTTGAAATTGTCCACTGAAACTTTCAAAGAAACATGGAAATGTAAAAAATATTTAGAATTTTAAAGGAGTCTTGTTGCTACCAGTATTGTCCGACTGCGGAGAGATCCACATGAAAAATTTGATTTATAGGACATTGTTGGGCTGTATTCATATTTTTGAGACAGGGAAGGTATTGGTAACCAAAATTTGCTTGCAAGTACTTACCAGGAGCGGATCCAGACTATAGCAACTGTAGTTCGAGCTATAGTCAGATCCTCCATGTTTGATTTTTAGAGTTCAAGGTTTCCTTGCAGTCCCAAAAAATGTGTTTGTCAAATAGAGATAGAATTTATCCCCGCAAGTGTTCATTCTTTCTCTGCTATATCAGCGTCTCCGGTTATTAAATGAGGTTAACAAACTGAAAATGTGTCATCACAATGCCTCTGAAATATGTCAAACACTGCTCCAGATAAGATATAAAACACTGAGCACACAATGGTCTAATATTAAAATTTAGGCGAATTAGAAGTTCCGTTCTTTGTTGAGAGTAAACAACCAGAGTTGAGCTATAGTGGGTATTCCGAGCTATAGTCGATCTCAGGATTTGCTCTGGAAAAGGTATCGAAGACAATGAAACTCGTACTACAATTTTTGGCGCGAGCTATAGTGAAGCTATAGTCAAGTTTGAAAATAGCCTTTAAACCAATAGAATATGAGTATCCACAGTACTTCTCCGGTAATGTAGCTTCAAAGGCTAGGGTCTGCTAGGAAATAGGAAAAGGAAATTCAAAGGAATACTTATGAATACAAAGCGGCTATGAACACACATGGTTACAGCATTTGCCCATATAGTGGGCGTGTCCTACAAATAAGGGGGGTGTGGTCCTAATCCCAAAAGATTTGATTGTTGTCGTAGTTCATCAGCCTTTAGAGTCAACCTTCAGAGTCAACCTTCAGAGTAGGCCTTCAGAGTAGGCCTTCAGCTTTTCCAAATGCACTTGGCGATCAGTGTTATATTTATAATCCTTCAAGTTTAATAAAATGAAAGAACGCTGCAAAAATGCCTAACTTCCCAGCTGAACTGAACTGTCTAGGTATGCGTCCATTAGGTCAAGAGAATTGAATGATTACATTGATGTAGCTACTATATGAACCTTTATTAGACCTCGCAAAAGAGAGTTTCTTACTTTGGTAAAGCAAGTTAAGGAAAGCAATCCTATCACAAGATCTTGTCGCTGTTTTCTGCAATATCCAGGCTAGTTTGAGAGAGTAGCCAGAATTTCTATTCAGAATTTCAAAGCCGACTGCGTTCATGATGTAATGAAACCAATTTTAGTTCGTCAGGTTCTTTGCGAGAAGCCCATCAGCCAAAAGAGCGGCTGGAAATCGGTCTCTATCTTTTTTTAAGGGCTGACTAATTGCAAACAGTAAGCGACGTGACGGGGATAGGATTGTCAAATGCTTTGGGGACATGGTTATATGCATGCGTTACTGATTTTTGCCTTAAAAAGCGACGATGGTCTTTAAAGTTGCACCGCATCAATTCAGCTTTTTTGCGTCATTCATTTCATTTCATTTCATTTAATCTTGTTTATACTTAATATCCATTCAGTTACGATATATAAAAAGAAAAGAAAATTACAATGCAAATTTGCGAAGGTTACTCTAAAGATTTAATATATATTTTCTGATCTTTCATTGATTCGTGCCGAGATTTTAGTTCTTGTTTATTAAATCGTACGATTGAATCGATATCTCTTTAGGATTTTGGGATATTGTCCAAAACAACTGGGCAAGCATACCAATGTACCAATTTTGACACGTGGATATCCTTCCTATTCCTTGTGTTGTATTTTGATATGGTAGATCTTTCAATCTGTCAAGAAAGAGAAAAACTTCAAAAGACAGATTTATGTTATAACGGCCTTCCCCTTTAGATATAGGAAATGCTCATGGTAAATTGCTTTAAGAAACAGGGGCGTACTCAGGCGGACAAGAGCCCAACCAGTTTTACAATTTTTGAATTCCTTGGTTTTAAAGTTAGCAAATGAATCATAGCTTTTTTTGTTGGTAAAGACCAACTTATTCGTCTGATAAAGAATTTCTATTGTTATCAATTTCTTTAAAAGTTGGGTAACAATACAGTAGCTATGATAAAAGCTAATTTAGGTCAACTAAAAATTACAATACACATATAATAAATAATTTTGAATAGTTGTTGATAGAGCAAGCACAGTAAACATAACAATAAGAAAAATCAGTTTAAAAAACATTAAAATCAAATGTCCTTAGTTTGGAATAAATGTTTTACATAGGCGGCAATGACAGGTTACTTGAGCTCAGTAAGAGCTGTAGAAAACCTTTGATAAATTTTGGGACGGTAGCCCAGACTTACGGGCCTCTTAAGCGCTTGGTTTTTAAGCCATATGTAATAGTTTATATTTTAGGAAGAGAATAATTATTAGCGTTCCCACAGATTATGCTGAATATATGTTCAAAAAACTTCTCATAAAGGCTGGATTCTAGCCAGTACATTTCGGTTATGAGGAGCTCCAGGTTTCATTGGTGCACAGTCATATATTTATCTTTATCCATCAGCATATTTGCATATCTCAATATCATCAATAGAATGTAACAAATCGTTCAAATAGATGTTTAGAAGCAGAGGTCCTAAAACCGATCCCTATGGAACAGCCAAGTTCAGTTTCTGCTAAGAACCAAACGAACGATTAATTTAGGCTCGTTGCTGCCTATCACTCAAATAAGTATGCAGAATGGTCAACGCATCGTGGTTGAAACCGTAAGTATGAAGTTTAGTGATAAGGAGATATGAAACAGCACGACATATGAAACAGGCCTAGCCTTTCAGACTGACGGCGTGTTGATCTGGTTGTGGTAAATGTTCTTAGTGCGTGTATAGTAGAGAGTAGTCGTTCCATTTATTTTTGCCTCAGTTCTGAAAATATGAAATCATTCAAAGTGTATTCTAGTTGCCATTATATAAGAAAAGCATTCACAAAGATATGACTAAGTTTTACTCACTCAATTTTGACTCATTTCTCACTCGTTATTATCATCAGCTGAATTGATCATCATCAGCTGAATTGATCATCGTCAGTTTTTATCGTTAGATAAATGTGTTCTTTATTTATTTCATTTCATTTTGTTTTTCTTTTAGGTCGTCTTTTTAATGTTTAAGTTTTGATTTTAATCTCTGTGTCCAAATGGCCCGGAGGTAGTCATAGCCTTCTGCTCCCCTGGGTATCGTCAAAAAAGTATCGTATAGTTTGTACAGTAATTTTGTAAAGTATCTGTAGATCTGTATTGTAATCTTTTAATGGATTAGTTCGACTTTATCGGTCTAAAAGTCGTTAGCATAATGTCCATCAAAAGAGACCTTCGTATTCACAGTATGAAACAGGGAAGTGTAAGGATCTACAATTTCTTCAACGTAAAAGCTGCGCATGTGCGAAATATTTCAGTAGTCAGTACTAAGATGTAAGCGATGATTTTTAACGAAATTCCGACAGATATGAGAGAGAACCCCACTCTCAAACATTTTGAAAACAGCCTTAAGTGTTTTTAAAGGACTGATAGTATCTCTTTCCTGAATACCAAATCAGAAAATTTAGGAAAATCAATACTTTGGGATCAATTTTGATGCTTTATCACCAGTGGGTAGCTACTTTAGGTAATAAACTAAATCTGAACACGACAACATTTTCAAAGAAAGCAGTTCTACTTCAGAAGTTCTCCACTCTCATTTAACAAAGTGAGGTTCATGTTCACAAGAATTTTATAGGCTCTGTCTTCCGGGGCTTCGTGGCGAATCAATTCTAGAGAGGGCCAGAAAGAAAAGTTTTCCGACAAGACTTTTGTGAATTATCTTAATCAAATAGAAGCATTCCATGTTAGTGTAAGGAGGGAGAGAAGCATATATCCTTTGCTTTAGCTGGAAAGATATATAAAATGCACTTTTATCTTTGTGGCCTTTTTTTTAAACTTGCTGTGAAAGTTCCTGACATCTTGCAACCTTGTAGATTAGTAGATGAGGACAAGGGTAAAGTTACTACCTGGGGTGGCACCGGGTGCCGCCGATGGAAACAATTTTTTTTAATCTTAATCATTAATTTCCACAATTTTTTATAATCTTAATCCGGCGAACTTGAAGCATTAAGTCTTTATTTTCCAAAATTGAATATCCACTGACAGAAAGCGATGGTATTGATCGACTTTTTCCTTGTTTTACCTTATGCAACATAACTGCATAAATTTTCAAATCTGGAACAAAGTTTTCAAACTTGGTGATAAACACAAAATTGGCACTGTCCCGGTCTTCAATATAAAATAAAGATATAATTTATGACAAATGTTGCAAATTTCCATAACCAAATTTGACCCTTGAAGATTCGGATTTTAACTGACAAAATCCGAGCAACAAACCACACTATGGTAGAAGTCAGTAAATCCTGAGAAATCATTTTGTTTTTGTGGAAATCTAGTATTTTCTTTACAAAAGTGAGTTGCTTCTCGATAACATGATAATTATTTTAGTCCAAGTAATTTATGTCGCTAAAAGGTACGTTTCACTTCTCCTTTTACCCAAAGCTCAAGTTTGAGAATTTTCCGACATAACATGATTTTTCCGAAAATCTGTCAAACTTTGTTCTTTGGAAAATTATTTTTCCAAAAATCTGTCAAACTTTGAAGGCAGAGGGGGTCACGGCCCCCCTGCCCCCGGCCACGACGCCCGTGTCTGTCTTAGAGCAAAAAGATTGACAACTGAAAGTAAGCTGAGTCCATATCGAACTATCTGTTGCACAAAGCAAATCTTTAACTACCGGCTTATCTGTTAAAACCTTTGAAGATCCTTTTCATAAATACATTAGTGTTTACTTGCTCATGTTCTTTACCGATTGAAGCACTAGGATCAGCTGATAAATCGCGCAAACATTAATTGGCAAACGTAGAAATTCAGAAGAAATATTAATGACAGGTGATTTGTG